CTTGGTGTGTTTGCCTTCGATTTACTGATTAATTTGTTGCTTGTCGTCTTATTTCTATCGATTTCTTTATTTTTCTTTCTTTATCCAATATTTGCTTACTCAATCAGGATACAGATGTTCTCTTCTTTAAATACAAAGAAAATTTATTTAAAATATTAATGCATATATATGTGCCGAGCTCTCCTCTGTTTTGTGTTATCCGTCTTAATGTTTTTTTTTTTACCAACAAATGGAGGAATCTACAATTTTTTACCAGGCGGCCTCCGAACGGCTGTTGGATTTTTAAGAGTAGCATATTCCCATGTAAAAAACACAGGGTTTGAAATTCGCTATCAAAGAGCGACCGCAATTAGAAAAATTAATTTTCTATGATTTTTGAATGTTGGCCGAAGCAGAACTGGTACCCTGGTAGTATATAATGTTAACTACTCGGCTGTTACTCCTTCAACTTATCGCGGTGTGGGTTTTAAAGAATTTTCAATATTATCAATTAATAATCAATATCAATTTAAATAAAAACTAAGTATAATCTTCTAATTGTCGTCGTTCCTCTACAGGGAACGCCAACCCCTTCGAATGTATTTCTGACATGATGGTTGTTGCCTTCAAGCGGTTCATTTGTTGGCAGTAGAGAGCCGAATTGAGCGTTTGGCCATAGAGGAGCAGCTCGTAGTAGATGATTCCTTGTCAATCCCACCAAACCCCCAGCAAAGCCTTCCTGGTCGTCAATCCAGTCTTGGCCACTGTCTAGGCCGCATCCCCGAGCTTTGACCACGAAAGTTTCGATGTTATCGTAAGTGACCCATTTTTCATTGCCATTCAAAATCCGCTTCAGAAACGGGTTGATTTTGTTGCGATTCAGCAGCTATTCGCAGATGGAAATTCGGTCCATTATGTTTTTTTGCGTTAGTTCGTGTGGCACCGGCACCCAAACATCGAGCTTATTTTTTTTGAATGCAAAGTTATGCAAATGGTTCCAAACGGTTTTCTGGCTTATCCTTAGTTCCTCAGCAATTAAATGAGTGCTCACATAACAGTCTGTTTCCACTATTTCCATGATTTTATCGCATTTTTCGAAAACAGGCCTCCCGACGCGTGGTGCAACTTTGACATCGAAACACACGAAGTATCGAGACCATAAACTAAATTAATTTTCTCAGCCGCTTTGGCTGCTTTTTCGCCTTGATCGAAGAAAAATTGTAAAATATAGCGAATTTTCTCTTAGCTGGTGCCCATCTTTGACTAGCGCTCACAACGTACTGAGTCAACTCAATCAATCAATCGTATTCAGCAATGCAACGCGTAACACAAGTACTACGGACAATAACGCCATCCCGAACACGCACTTTTTGCTCGACGAATATGTAGTAGAAGTGATAGATACCAGACTCCATTCAAAGCCTAATTTAACCAGTTTTGTGAATACTATCATAGACTCAATCGTCAATAACTATTGGCATTATTCTACAAAGGGACGTATTAAGTTAGCTATATCAACGTTGGATATTAAATGGAGTGATCTGATTTACAATTCATCATAGATCTCATAGATCACCAGGTTGATCAGAACATAATCAGAACATAGAACAAGTTCTAGCTGGTCAATTTCGACAGGACATCAACCTTCTTATCTTTGTCATAAAGACGATACAAGAAATCAGCAACAGTCGGAAGTGTCGCAGATGTACAAACGCCAAACTGAAAATATGCATGTTACGTGCCGTAAGTACGTACGTAAGTAAAAAAATATTTGTGATTTTATTTTATTTTTTTTTTTTTATTATTATTTTATTTTATTTATTTTTTTTTATTTTTTTTTTATTTTTTTTTTATTTGCAATATATTTTTCCTCAAACGCACTCATCAATTTTGTTTGTGGCTTGTTGTTACATTCCGATCGAATATGACCGCGTTGACCGCATGCATAACATTGCATATTTCGCTTTCTGTTTGTTGTTGTTGCTTCCATTTGAAAAATTTGTCTGTTTTCTTTGCTCGGCTCTCTTTTTCTCCGCTTTCGCTGCAAATAGTCTTACCGCTGTCTGCTCGATTACCACGACGCTGCTCCTCTTCCCAGATTTTGACCTTCAGCTGTCCCAACGAAGGTAACTCATCTCTGCTTTCTATAGCGACGACAAAACTTTCCATGTCGTCAGGTAAGCTGTCCAACAACAAAATACACAATAGATCTTCTGGTACCGCAATGTCGATTTCTTTCAAACTTTCAGCAATGCTACAGAAATTATTAATTTGCGTACACATTTTTTCGTCGCTTTTTATTTCAAACCTAAAAAGACTTTTAAATGATCTCACTTTACGGGAAGGAGTTTTTGCTCTGTACAAGTCGTGCAGTTTATTCCAAGTTTCTGCTGCACTAATGGAATTCCAAGAAGCTCTGTCGGTTTCACACATAATATGATGGTAGCCAAAGCTTTTTGATCATTTTTGATCCATTTATTTTTTATATCTTCAGGAGCGTTTTCCGGACATTTGGTTATAATGATGTCCCAATCGTCCATGGTGATCAGCAAACTCATCATTTGAAGAGACCATCTCTCATAATTATCGCCGCCTAATTTTTCAATATTTAACACCGAACTGCCGCTCATTTTTCTTCGCTTAGTTTTTACCAAAATACACGATATAACTATATCGACCGATTTAAACAAAACTTTTCTATATATCAAAACACATGTTAACAGCTGAGTCTGGGCCCATAACCTTTGTTACCGCAGATAGACCAAATAATTAACACGACCGTTTGATATAACGCACTTTATTCAAGTAAGTAAAAATAAGATAAGTACAAAGTTGAAGTATTACTTATGGAATACTGGAATACATAACATTCGGTTTGCCCGTTACAATACAGGGCCATTTGTACAATAATACCTAACAGCTTTATTAATAAGGTGTCTGGAATAAGAAGTCTAATGGGGAAACATAGTGGTTTCTGAAACAGTTCCATAAAAAACCCAAAAACAACAGAGAAATGACCTGAAAAAGCATCTATTTTATTTTATTTTTTATTTCATTTGCTTCATGCTCTGTTATTTTATTTTCCTTTTTTATTTAATTTTGTTTATTAACTTTATATTATTTTGGTTTTTTACAATATTTTAATTAATTTTATTTTTTAATTTTACTTTATTCATTGGTTTATTTGAATATACATATATTATTTTATTTTATTTAAATTTAATTTAGTTAGTTTTATTTTATGTATTGTATTGTATTTTACTTAATTTTATTTTATTTTTACTCGTATTTATTTTATTTCATTTAAAATTACTTTATTTAATTTTTTATTTTATTTTGTTTATTTTATATTATATTATATTATTTTATATTATATTATATTATATTATATTATATTATATTATATTATATTATATTATATTATATTATATTATATTATATTATATTATATTGTATTATATTATGATATATTATATTGTATTATTTAATTTAATTTATTTTATTTTGTTTCTTATTTATTGTTTATTGTAATTTTTTTTCTTTTTTTATTTAACTTCATTTTAATTATTTGTTTATTTATTTTTTTTTTGCAAAATTCTGGCTAAACTAAATTTTATCCTTCAATCCAATCTCAACTGCGCAAAAAAGATTTCAAAGGGGACAACAGCTGGCGAACGGTCCATCTGTAACAGTTGTTTTTATGCTTTTTTTGAAGGAGAATATCTGATGACAGAGAAACGGAAGAGGATATTAGCAACTGTTCGATGAACTGCGAAAAATGTATATTAAACATCTATTCGTACACATGTACAATTAAGTCCATCCGCATAGCATATTAACACTTATTAGGAAGTTGCTGATATTTAATATTTTTGAGACGGAAAGACTTTACTTCTTATATAACGTAAAAAACGATTATCCCTTTTTCTCTTGGCTTCTTTCTGTTCTCAGTATAATGCCGATTGCAGACACAAAACCAAGCCTTGTTCTTCTCTTCTGATCTTTATAATGGAAGAGGGGTCCTCTATTTAAATCTGAGGGTACAACATGGAAAAGTTTTACGGCAGGATTTTTCATCCATTCGATATTCTCCGTTGCCCATGCATTGGATTTCCAGGCTCACATTGTTATTGATGTCAATGGTGTGTCAACAATATCTAGAAAACCAAGATGGGAGTGAGCTGACTGTTTTTTTCCCCCGAGAAGATAGTTCGCCCTGTTATCTTTCCGTACCAGCCTCATTCTCGCTGGTTCCTTGTCCGAGAGAAAAGGAAAGAGGGTTACCTTGACTGAAACTTCGTTTGGTATACAATGGTTCGAAGGACTTTTCCCTTTTCTAAGGAAGATTTGAGCTTTGTTCTCGTCGTATAAGTTTCTTAAGGATATTAAATACTACGTCGTAGACACAGCTACTCTTTTTGCTGCCGGAAGTAACTTTATTTAAATTTAAAGAGGAGATAGTGTAAATCGTTACTTTTCCCACTAGTATTTTCCAAATTAGGCACTTGTTGAATATCTCATCCCATCTATTAGGTCTGAAGCCACTATGATGAGGTCTAATTGAATCGTTCCTAGTGATATTTCGTCTTCCCGCTACAAGGTCCCGCTTTTATTGATTTGGCGTAGCAACACAATTTCAAATCTTCTGAACTCAAGCTGACAGGAGTTTAGATGCACACACACTTCATAAGGCCCAAAACGTGTATTTTCTTGTAATCTCTTCCTCCCGTGTCTGATGGAACTTTTTTTTTTCAAACTTCCTTCTCGTTTTCGACACGATATCTTCACTAGTCTTTTCTTGCAGGGTAGTTTCCCACAGTCATAAACGTAATTGAATAAAAGTACGCTCTCAGTGGTTTTACGATACCTGCTCAGTTAATCACCAATACTTTTGTATGTTGCATATTTTTAGGCGGCCGAAGTTTTTCAAATAAATTTAAAACCTTTGGCTTCCTGAAAGACTAAAATAAAATCCTTTCAAATAATTATATGAGTATAAAATACAAATATGTATGTATATATTTTTATTCTCTTAATATATTTTAAGCTACAATCTTAATTACTAGAAAGTCATTATACATAAAATGTTGTCATTTTACTATCACTTGGATTCGCTGGATTTGGATAAGAAATGCAAACTAGCTTTGGCGGTGTTTTAGGAGTAACAGTTCGGTGTGAATCATTCAAGGAGTTTTCGGCCACACTGGAATCGTTACCACACAGCGCCTGTTGGTTCGTTTCTCCAGCTATGTGATTCAACATGTGAAATAGGGTATCATCTTCGTCGCTTGTATCAGATAGTTCTTTTGATGAAGCAACGGTCGCCAGTTGAAACGCCTCCAAGCCGTCTGGATCGGGATCAGATGCGACGCTATGTGTTGGTGAGACATTTACCATGGGAAAAGACTTGCTTTTATCTCGTTGGAATTCGTGCAACAAATCCGAGCTTTTATATTGTCTGGTGACATTCTCTAATTGTTCCGTTGCAGTTTTATGTAAAACTTTGTGACGTTTGAAATTTGATGCATCCGCAAATGTGCGCGGACAAAGCGGACACTTATAAGGCTTTTCACCTGTGTGTGTGCGTAGATGTTTTGTTAATGCTGATTTCAGTTTAAATCGTTGTAAGCACTGATCACATTGAAATTTCAATTGAGAGACTGCAGAAGATCTGCTGTTAATGGTTTGAATGTTCGTATGAATAAGACTTTTCAATTCATTACTGCTTATGGTAGTATTAGGATTAGGTGGGGTGATAAGAGGCGGTAATATTTCAACAGATTTTACTACAGTAGTCTTTGGTCTAAGTAACGATGAGCTTTCCTTTGAATTTTCTTCAGGCCTGCTCGTTTGCTCAGTAATACAAGCATTGCTAAGTTGCGATTTTTCCTTTGAATTGTCATCTTTAACAGTTTTGTCGTGCAATCGTGATAATACAGCACGTTGAGCATGTTTCACATGCATTTGTTTGTGTAGTTTCCAATGCGAACTGCTGTTGAATGTCGCACCGCATGTTTCACACTTGAATGGGCGCTGACCTGAGTGCAATCTCATGTGTGTAACCATGTTGGAACGATGGGCAAACGCCTTTTCACAGTGCTGGTGAGAAGATATGAGTTATTTAACCCTAAAATGTAGGAAATTGTTAACTCACCGGACAAATATGAGGCTTATCACCCGTATGGGTACGCATATGCACGGTCAGCTCATTTTTATATATAAATGATTTGGTGCACAAATTGCATTTAAAATTTCGTATGCCTGTATGCTTAGCAATGTGATAAGCTAGATTGTTTGCATGCTGAAAATATACATCTTCATAGCTTACTTATATAATTAAAACGTTCAATTAAGTCTACCTTAAAGCTTGCAAGACAATATTTGCACTTATATGATCTCGTGTCCATATGAACATGTTTATGGTGCCGCACCACAGAATAATTATTTGTAAATACTTTATTACATTTCAAACATTTGAAAGAGTTGCTTTTGTGCGATGAATCTGGTACAGTTTGATCCATTTTTGCCCCCAAAGGCGATGGCGAGCCACTATTCTTTTCACTTGCTCTTGGCGTGTTTTTTAAGTCCGAATCGATGGAAGTGATATGTCCTTCGTCATCTACAACGATATTTATAGTTGTTTCCGACATTTCATCGCCAGACTGCTTTTCTGGAATCTCATCATTGTTTTCAGTTTTAGTTTTTGCCAAAATAGACATGCCTTTATGACCATTTTGGCGCTGATGTGCTTTCAAGTCTTTAGGCCTTTCAAACTTTGCTATGCACGTTGTACATTCATAAAGAGATTCATTATGTGTTCGTAAATGTTTTAGAAATGAGTTTTGTTTTGTAAAAACGTCTTTACAATATTCACAGATTAGTCGAATTTCTGGTTTAGAGGAGGTTGATTGTTGTGGTGCATCCGAGTCGACAGATATTATTTCCGCTAAAGACGCGCCATTTGCAGACCGCAATTCTGCAATAGGTTTTATGGTGATAAACGTACCGGTATTTACATCTTCCGAGTTGTTTTGTAATTTCTCTATAATGAAAGTTAATATATATATATATATATATATATATATAGATTATGAATCTTGTATGAATTTTATCCCTTGCTCACCAATATCGTCAGTGTAAGGTAAAGGATCGCATGGAAATCGTTTCTTCTTTTTCCGTACCCGTTTCGGATATTTGTTCGTGCTGACAGCACTTTGACTTTTAATTGCAGCTTCTCCAACAAATATGTTATTTGTTTGTTCCGTTGATTTACATTTAGTAATTTGTTCGTTATCAATACTATTTTGTAGCTCTTGTGTGTTTATAGTTTCAATTGTCTTCTTATTCTTAATTAATTCAAATAACTTTCGCTGTCCTTCCTCTACCGTTAAAAGGAAACTGTTCGTCGACTCCGCTTCCAAATGGCAGGCCACACAAATCCATTTAGGATAGCAATTATTTTTAATAAACTAAAATTTAAAACATAAAAGTTAACCAATTTTAGAAAATGAAAGTTGGATTCTGTTCTACCTCTATTTTCAAGCATCCAAGAATCCGGGTTACTAAATTAACTATATCGTTATTTCCTTCTCCAAACAGTTCCATCACATTTCGTTGCTCCTCGCCGCAAAGACGACAAACTTTTTCTTCATTAATTAAACTTTCATAAACGCTCATTTTTCACTATAAACAATTTTATAATTAACAGGAAATAAACAGATCAAATTACATTTTGGTTAAACAACAAGTCTTTACAACAAGCCTATGTCTATAGACAACTAGGACAGCTGTTTCTCTGTCATATGAAATCTAATTAGTCGTATTCACAAGCTTTAGAGTTTGGTTATCTTTGGTTAATGCCGGCGAGAACTCGCATTAAAAATTGTATGGAGTACTTCAAAGTTCGTTACCTCACGTCACCGCACACAATCAGTGTTTGACTTGCTCAACCTCTGCGGGTAAGAGCTCAATAATTTAACCGGATTTTTATCCGGCAAAGGATACAACAACAACATCATCCATTGTCTACTTTTTGACAGATAATTGCAAGCGATTTGATTGCGGTTTTTTTGGTGGGCACTTTGATTGCTTAACGTAAGCTTTTCTCAAATGGCTCCAAAGAAGTGTGTTTGCTGCATTAAATCTATTAAACATTTAGAAAAACTAAGGTGCTGAAGCGAAGTCGATTGCCAGCGAAAGATGTCAGGCAATAAGCTGTAACATGTGTTTGCGGGCTGTTGGCAATTTAAGTGACGTCAAATTCACATCTGTCATCAACTTAAATCAACTTAGTGTCGCTAGTACTCGTTACTTGAATAGTAACACTCGACAGCACCAGTAATTTTTGACGTTTTCCTCCACTCGTTATTAAATTGTCTATAATTTTCATTCGTTGTTTTTCTGAGATGTGTCAAATAATTCGTTGGCAGGAATAAAAGAACACCGTTTTTTGTTCGTCGTTTGTGAAAAACTTTATTGTATTCGTATGCAATTGTTTTAAGTTTATTAAAGAAAAGGAAACAAGTGCATGTCTAATTTTCTAAGTTCTTAGATAGTATTTGAAGATAATTAATTAAGACAAAATGGTAATTCAATATATAATTCGATTGTGAAAACTGCCAGCAAACACCGTTGAATAAAGCAATAAACCAAAGCGAATATTCTAATTGAAAAGTCGATTTGTGGATAAGTTCTTAATTTCTTCGAGATTTTGTTCGCATTTTCAATCGCATATTTCGTTTTTAAATCATACATAAGCAATTGATTGATAAACTTAATTTCTTATTTCATAACACCTAACCGAATTGTACATGCAGTCGTTTGCGGAAAAGATCACAGGCTTGTTAGCGCGGCCGAATCAAGGAGCAGAACAAATGGGTGGCGTAGATGCGCCATGGTATATGAAATATGGAGGACGTTTATTGGGTATTGTTGGCGCGTTCTGTAAGTACATAATGTTAATGCAGTAAATAGCACTATTATTTGAATGGAGAAATTATAGAAAAAGAATTTGTTTTAAGCTAAAAATATATGGGGGCGTAATTCCACCTTACAGCTGTTTCATAGAATGTTTGTTCTTGTTATCAAACACAGTCAAATGAGTGTCGAATAATCGATTTTCCACCCTCAACATACAAAGCAATGTACATAAGTATAATTCTTAACAGTTATCTTCACACAATGCACGATACTTATTCATTTGTATCAAACTTTCACACATACAAAACAATATGTTTAGTAGTTCTTGTTCCTATTGCTTGTGTTGTAACCTCAACCTCCCACTGAATAAAGAGCTTCACATTCCGCACATACAAATCTTTTTGTATACACGCATATTTATATAGACGTTATAAAGGCTACATGATAATGCCACTGACATTGATAAAAGAACCAGTCTTTACAGAAGAGTATATCTGTACATATCTGAAAGTACATATATATATATATATATATATATACCCATATATGTATGTATACATCAGTACGGAGCATATTGCGCTCATCTTTGATCAGACATATACAGTTTGCAGTCAATAAATGTTCTATCGCATATTTATGTAGAGCAACTTGCAACGAAAGCATAGCATTATTTCATCATAACATCTTTAAGCCATACGACAAATTCACAACCAGTTTTTTTTTTATCAATAATTCATACATACGCATATACGCATATAAATGTCAACAGCGTGTATATGTGGATACTAGATTAGCTAGATTTCTTATTTTCATATATCCAAGGGGTACATGTAAATATGTTCCGAAATTTAATCAATTTATTCTAACAATAGAAATAGGCGTCTTTAAGCGTTTTGCAATTTCAAAACTTAAATAATTTTGCAAATGTTTTTGTAGGTGCGAGTCAATCTTTTCATAAAGAGCTTACAAGCTCATAAATACATACACAAATATTAAGTATTGTAAATTACATTTTATCCTTGATAAGGAAGCAATAAACGAGAGGTAGATTACGCTCGTGAGTTAAGGAAGCAAAGACAATTTTCTTTGAAGTCAATAATTTAATAAATATTATATATCTACATATATTTGTACTATATCTGCAGGAGAGCCGCATTTATGCATATGCACATTTCAATCAATAAAATCTCTTTGTTGTTCAATTCGAAATCAGTTGTGAGCGCAAAATACCGAGCGCTGGTGGATAGAAAATGTTATATGTTTCTTAAAATAGACGCAACTAGATTTGAGCTTTGGAGTGCCTCAATTTTGAAATTAAATGAAGACAATCATCAATCCTTCAATCAAGTTAATATGTTAAATAACATTTATGTATTGCAATTTATTGCGGTTGTAGATAACCATTTTTCTATTACTTTGTTTCTTTATATAAAAAAAAGCAGAATTTATTGTAAAAGCTCATCAGCCTTTAAAAACTAAATTTTCACAGATCGTTAGCCGGTGTTGACAACCAATTGATGCTTCTGATTATTTGAGAGTAGGAGTGTTCCCCAGTAGTTTTGTAACGAGAGTAAGAGTCCTTGGGAGGATAAAATTCGAATCGTTCCAATACAAAGGCCCGCGTGAACTAATGGCTTTGTATCGCCTCCTACGAAAGGCATGTCAATTCTGGATACTTGAGGTCCTAACCCGCATTGTATACAATTTTTCGCTCTTTAGTTTATTTTTAGTTTTTGATTTTTTTTAAATAAAGGGCTACAAAAGAATTATTAAAACACTTTTTTTGGAGACTAAATATATTTTAATATCTCTTCACATTACCTAATTTGTTTACCCTTTCTTTCATGGACAATTATTATACATATGTGTATATGTACGTACATAAAAAATGTCACAACTTAAAAAATGTCAAAATGCTCAGGGCAGACGCTGCTCAAAAGACGAGAGTAAGATGAAAAATTTTCCACTAAAGAAAAGCTGTGATTTGAAGAAGTGTCTTTCACAGTTGTTAAAGCTGTGTTCTATGAATTGGTTTTTAGAAAACAACAAAATTTGAGTTGTGTCCTTGTTTAATCTAGTCTACGATACGTACAATTAACCGACGATATTTGCACACGATTCTAGTGTTATCAGAAGCAAAGCTATATTTGTTTTGCTTTAAAATAAAACAACTACATATGCACATTGCCTTAATAGCAAAACGAAAATGATAAACAATTTTTAATTTAGTTGTTTGTAAGTATGTATAAAATGTAACGGATACTGGCAGTGCATTATCATTACAACTAACGCTACGTACTTTCAAACTCAATGATTAATCCATGTCATTAATAATTTTGATTAAGCAACTGCAAAACCGTAATAAAATAATCTATTGTAGATAATTGTCATACATACACATAATCATTTAATAGAAATTAGCAAGTATTTGTAAAATGATAACTCATTTTTGTGCTTGACACAACTTTGAATCATAGTAATCTTACTACATATTCCAACGCTAAACCACTAGTAAGGCTTCAGCGAACATCAATGTCTACATAACATATGTAACATACATAATTATATTATTTATTTATATATTTTCAATCTGCTTAGTCAATACTCTACATTACTTGTATTATCGTACATTTTAAGAGAGACAAGGGCCGCAAAGCCGGCTTTTCGCTTTTGGCTTTATCATTAAGACTTGTTTTGCGCTTCATAAAGCTTTCGCAAAATAGGAAAAAAGGTACAATATACCGTAGCAAAAACGGAAGAATGACGATAAAAAAGCGTAGTAAACAAACCTGTTCTCCATAGTGAACTTTTAATCGGCGTCGTTGAGTCAGAAGTTTCATATTGCAAACTATTGTGTTATCATTTGTTCTTATTGTTTCTATAGCTTGATTTTTTCTATGCAAACTTTTAGCCACTGCGGCATATTATGGTATAATATGATGTTAAATGAAAATTTAACTCTTTCGTTTGTATTTCAATTATTAGCGATGTTTTAGTTATGTGGACATAAACCGTTATTTTGTTGTTAATAACAACAAAACAAAAAAGAATCAGTGCCCACACAATTAACATACATCGCAGTCAAAGATATGAGTCACCAATGTTTTTTTTTTAATATCAATGAATTAATTTTTGCACGAATTTAGAAATAATTAGCAACCCAGCAAACCAACAAAGTCTATGTGTGTCTGCAAGGTGCATAATTACACCCATTCTTCTAGGGAATCTTTATCTTCATTAAATGCTTTTGAAGATAACCAAAAAGACTCCGTGAGGGCTCCTTCTTTACTTTAATAACTCGAAGTTGCGGCCGTTTTTGCTTTTTCGCTAAATTCGTTTAGATTAATGAAAAAGTTCTACGAACTCAGTAGTTGGTCACAGAGGCTTCGTGTAGCTGTATGATCAAACATTATTCCATAAAAAATTGTATAACTGCCATGTAATTGCCAAATTTTTTCAACTAATATGAGGTCAAGTAAAAAGTTCGTTCGGTTTTTATCTAAGATATGGCGTTATTGTCCATAGTAAATACTAGTGTTACGTGCCGCATCATGTCATACTATTCGGCGCTGAAAACTTGTTTATTCGTGATAAAAGTTCGTCTTTGAAAGTTTTTCGATTGATTGCCTCAGTACGTTGTGAGCGCTCGTCAAAGATGAACACCAGCTAAGAGAAAATTCTGCTTGACCGCTTGAAGGCAACACTCATCCAGAAGAGGCCATCTTTGATCGAACAGAAGTCGAAATGTGTTCCATCAGGACAACACCAGGCCACACACGTCTTTGGTGATGCGCCAGAAGCTAAAGGAGCTCGGATGGGAAGTCTTAATGCACCCTCCCTATAGTCCGGACCTGACACCAAGTGATTACCATCTTTTCCTGTCCTTGGCGAACGTGCCTAATGGTGAGAAGTTGGTCTCGAGTTGGGAAGTCTTAATGGACCCTCCTTATAGTCCGGACCTGACACCAAGTGATTACCATCTTTTCCTGTCCATGGCGAACGTGCCTAATGGTGAGAAGTTGGTCTCGAGTTTTTTGCCAATTAGGCCTTCTACGAGAGGGGTATAATGAAGTGGGCATCTCGTTGGCAACAAGTTTATGAACAAATCGACGCATATTTGATTTAAATCGGACAAATGTACACAAAGTTATCATATTTTGAAAAATCAATAAAAAAAAAAACAACGAACTTTTTACTTGATCTATATATAACATATAAGTAACTCGATCGTAGCGTCATCTAGCGAGCATAATATTTACAAGGCAAGAAATTTTGAATTCGAATAATTTTAATTTTGAAATATGACTATTATAAAACGTAATAGCTCGATCGATTCTTGAAAGGTCAACAGAAGAATAAAATTTGTACGAAATAACGTACAGAAATATCATAGAAAACTACTCAACAATTTTAGCATTAAAAAACAGGGATTAATTAATTTACCGTTGATAAAGCCTGAGCTCAAACTCGTCGCACTCTTTATTAAATGAAATTTGGGGTAGTGAGTGTGAAAATAATTTTTAGTTGTTTATTTTTTTAGACTCACATATTTTATTTATAAACTTTTTCTATTTATTACAGACTTTTTTTATGACAACTACATAAATTTTGTGATTTTTAATAAATTTTTTTTTTTTTTTTTGCTACAGTCTGCATACTTTTTGGACTCTGGAATGTCGTTGGCATTCTGCTTCTCAACATTTCCTGTCTCGTTTCGGGCATTTTACAAATGGTGGTGGGATTTATAGTGATGGCATTAGAGGCGCCTTGTTGTTTCTTCTGTATAGAATATGTTAACGAAATGGCGAATAAAGTGGAATCACGGCCTTTATGGAATCGTGCCGCCTTCTATTGTGCGTAAGTAATTGAATAATTTAAAAATTGACAAGCATGAGTTATTAACAAAAATATTTTTTTTTTGCATTAACTCTTTTACTAAAATGTACACTCATTAAATTCCACAGCATTGCTTTACCTCCTGTAATTTTGTGCCCAGGACTGAGTAGTGTATTTCCATGTGGTCTTGTATTTGGCACTGGAGCGATATATGGTCTCATGGGATTGGGAAAAAAGTGAGTAATACATTTTTAAGATATTCATAAGATATATGAAAGCTTAAGAATATTTATAACATTAGCAAAATAAGATTTCTTTTGTGTTTTTGTTTTTTATGAAAACTATTAGGAACCAAATTCTTTTTAAACGTCCAAAAATCTTTTACTTTATGTATGTGAGAAACAAGAAAAAATCCCTTGCTATCATTTAACTCTTCTACAATAATCTTTATGCACAAGTATTTTGCAACAACCTCAAACAAAACATTAGAATTAAACATTCCCGCTTGAGGACATAATAAAACACGCATTGATTTCAAGTAACGAAAACACAATAGTAAAAATTGAATTTTAAAATCATATCGAGTGAGCCTTACATACAAAAGTGTTATAACAACGTTTTAATGTGAAATAAAAATAAATAGAATATAAGTGTTTAAAGGCTAGCAGCAAGTAGTCACCAATGCCACAGTAAATAAATAATAAAATAAAAATAAGCATAATAAAAATCTAATATCAATATCAATCCATTGCTCAAGCCCTTGTTTAATGTTGAACAATATCTTTTTAACAAAGTATTAATGCTAATGGACTAATGATGGTTATGTTTCTGTTTGTTCTTTCTCTCTCTTCCTCTATTTTTGTCTCGTATTTGTTTATTGTCCTCATTTTTTTTATCTAACTCGTATCGTCACCACACTTTACTCTTAATATTTGTTATTGTTGTTTTTTTTAAACATCGCTCAAAAAATTTCTTATATATTTAAATAACACATTAAATACGCTTTAGAGCATCACGCGAGGATATGGCTGCAGCCGCGACATCCCCCACACAAATGCCACCCGATGGTGGCCAAATGCAAATGGGCACCGATCAACATATCACACTAATGGAAGATCCAGATGTCTGGCGTCCAACATAAACAATTCATTCCAATTAAATTTAGCAATGCTCATTAGTGCACGCTGCTATGCATAGCAATTTAGTCTCCAAAAAACTATATATATATATATATATATATTGAATTTAATTTAATTTGCCAATTATTGATAGGTGTTTCCATTGAAGCACTGAGGGAGAAGAGCAATAATTGAAATAGTCACTTGCCCCACCAGAAGAAAGAATTCACTAAAGTTAAAGGGTAGTGTAGAGTAGTAGAAAATACAAATGTACAACGGCTTAAGCTACCAATTTGCAAATAGAAAAAAAAATTAATTTACGTTTTTTGTTTTTTCGTTCGCGAGTTATTGCAATACAAACATGAATGCGTAAACTTGTGTATATGTATGTATAATATATTTATGTATGTATATTCATAGTTAATGCAAAACCAATATTACCTTAAGCACAATACTCAATTGAGAACAACATTCCATTTATAAGAAATAATTGTTACAAAAAAACAACAAAGCAAAACCACAAAAAAACTTACATATTTACAAAACTTAAGGAAGATCAAAGATTATTGTTGTTGTTAACGGTATGTATATACAGTACATCTGCGCTACCTACTAAATGATCTCCTCCAAAACAGCAATAATTGAGTAAACGCATAAATAAAACATGTTGTATATACATATAAAAGCATGTAATGTGGTAAAAATTAAACCAAAATTGAATTAAGTAAATAAAGTTTTAATGTAGAGCTAAAAAAAAAAAATAAAACATAAAATTGCATCGTTACTTAGTAAAAAGTTTAAAGAGTTTTGGTGTGTGTTGTTCAAAAGCTTATTGTCAAAAGGAAATATTTTATTGTAAATTATACGAAACTTAAAATAAATACACAAAATAATATATATATATATTATATATACATACATACATACATAAAGCATGGTTGATATAATATTCCTAGTGGAACAACTTTGAAAAGTGTGCGCATCAAATTTGATTTCGGTAAACTTTTGTTATCACTACAATCTTATATGCAGCAACACATTTAATTTTCATGAAATTACAACCACGTTTAAATGCTTTCATATGCATAAAAAAAACCTGGAAAAAGTATAATTTTTGAATGAGTAACTGCGTGTGCTATTGGTCATGCGCAATGAAGCTGGTTTAAAATACCGTGTCGCTTCTTTGCCCGCTATTTTTTTTCTTGTAAAATAAGTTAAATAAGTATTATAATTTATATTAAGCATAGATATGCCATTTTGGTAGTGAATTAAACACTTTTATGTTTGCTCAAGTTGATTTTCGTTCCTTCGAAACGTGAGAATTCTGAGAATTGAGCTAACCTTTATTGCAAACCTAATGATAATATTTATTAAATATCTAGTTGTTTATTGAAGAATATTCATAAAATAAGTTTCCCAATGTTGGATTTCAATTATAATCACATAAATAATAAATATCTAGTTCTGAAATTCAGGAATATATGCATTCCTTAATCATAGTGGATCGATATGAAAATTTAATATTATATATGCATCATACCTATAGGAAATTATTGAAGTTCGCAATTGTATATTTAATAAGCTCATAAATCATTAGTAATTGTAAAAATCAGTTATCGCCACACATTTGAGCTCCTAGAACAAGAATGCATAAAATACTGCCAAATTTATACTCTGCAACACAAACAGAAACACTTTAAATACAAGTACAAAAACATCATCAACTTGTCGGCGTTATTCACACAACGGTCAGCAGCTTCTTAAACTAAAAGGCAAATATCTCAATTTTTACCAAAAACAATGTTAAAAATAAAATTTCGATTTTCAATTGTTTATTACCACAGTAAACTTTTATGTTTTGGCACTTTAGTAGTGTTTTGTAGCCTTATGAAGTTTGCAATGTTGTATGGCACATATTTATCCTCTGCGATGTACGACAATACGACAATGTGAACTTCATAAACATTTTACTTTGCTTCGCCTATCTTTTATAGCGTCTACTGAGTGATATTTCCTTATATGTTGCATAATTAAAATAAATAATTAGTGTCTTCAAATATGTAGATTATTAAATTATTTATGTTCTTAACTATGTAATATTAAATAATGATTTAGCTAATGATTATCATTATTAAAAATATGTATTGGAATGTTTGAAAAAGCGTTTTAGAAAGCCTCATACAGAGTTTTCCAATAAAAGGTGTTATTTTGGTATTCAAAGGAACTTTTCCCCTAAAAGATGGATGGTTACGTTGCTTGTGTAGCGCCATATTGTTAAAAGTAAACGTTGTCCAAGTCAATACTATCCAATTTCGGCCGCAAAAAATCATTAATCAATGACTCCTGTTGATCATAAACCGCACAAAACAGTTACACGTTGCTGGTGGAAAGGCTTTTCAACAATAAATTATAGATTTTGCAATCCCCCAGTTGTTCGTATTGACGTAGCCATCCAGGTGAAATTAGCTAAAGATGATTTTTCGATGAAATTACGGATCATTTTAATACATTTATAAGACTCAATCAGCAAAAACAGGACGTTGTTAATGATCGGCCAGCTTGAATTCTTGTGTTACCTGTACTTCATACGACTTCAGAGTCTGTACGCAAAAATAACGTTTGTGGAATGGCCGATTCCAAAGAACGACGAGAAATGGACAAACCTGGGTTTTCTTCAACACTTTGGGCTGCATCAGCAATATTTTCAGGACGACTGGAAAATTTTACCATACCGTATTTACCGTCTATTTCATGTTTTCACTATTTTTATAGTGAATTCTAATAATTTCAATGCGTCATTGAAGTGCGTTTAGTTCCATTTTTATTACTGGCGTATAGCTTCAACAGTAACATCTACCGAAATAGGAAGCTATTCAAAATAATACCTTTTATTGGAAAACCATTTATTATTTTTATGTTCCAATACGAAGAAAAGTCGTAGTGAATTTTTATTGTTTTGTTTTTGTACGTTCGTAGTAAGGCCTTTTACTTAAAGCAAAATTTTTTTCTTCTCTTATATATAGTTCCGAGCCTTAGTTTGTCTAAACATACATAAAATATTTTGTGATATTATATAGAATGCACTTACCAATGTCCGCAAAGGTCAAAAAGGTCTACTCCTTGTAATAATATTTACTATACCTTTCATTTTAAATGCGTTTTAATGGGTAAGGCCACTATAGATGCTTCAGAAAATAGTTTTTTTTTTTTATTGGCTAAAAATATTCTTTGAATAGAATAATTGATTTCATTGAAATAGCGAGCCCTTTTACCGAACGCACTGGGTCGCTCCGGTATATATTTTGTATATTTCAAAATTTTAAATGAACTTTTTTCGAACGTATTTTGAAGTTGGCTCGCAGCATAACTCAAACAATTTTCAATTGGCTCTTTCTTGCACCTTTTTCATATTATTTGTAATAGAGTGACCGGGTTTTTCAATAACTTAATTTAAACAATAGTTATTTTGAGCCCTGTGTGCTGCAAGCCACGGAGCTCCTAAAAGAAAAATCACTTTACAAAAATGTCCATAGTTCCGTATTTTAATGAGATATCGAAACATAATTGTATTGCCTATCCTTCCATATAAAAAAAAATATTGAAAAAAGGTGAAAAGGTTTGCCTTAAGAAATTTTAAGCTACGAAAGAATATAAATGTTGACAAGAAATGCTGATCTCGTGTCCGTTTGTTGTTGTTGGTGTATCCGCAAAATATTCTCCGAATTGGTTTTCGTTCTTGGCCGGATAAAAATTCGGGTATTTCCGGTATAAAGACCGGACTTTCGCGGGAACTATTGGATATTAGTCACCTCTTACGAGAGGCATGCGTTACCACGGGTAAATTCCTGAGCCCATAACCTGCAGAGGTGATCAGGTAAGCTGGCACTTACTGAAATTCATTCTGCTAAGCAGAGTAACATTTCCGATGAAACGCTTTTGGGCTGCCCAACCGACTCTTACTTAGCTACTTATGTGCCAGTAGATGCGGCATAATAACATTCTATAAGTATCCCTTCCACCTTAAATCCTAAACAGGTTAGTTTCGAGTTATTACGCCAGTTTAGAAGATGTATAGAGTTTGCTATACTCTTTGAAGAAAGTGGTATGTCTACCTCAGTTTGAACCATTCCCCGGATATTTCCATACAATTGCGACTTTTGACATGTGATAGAAGCGACTTAAAGGCAGCTTGGCTTTCAGATTAGATTTTAATAGTTTAAATTAATGCTGTAGTCTTGCCATCGAGTAAACATAGTTACGGATCTTTGATCCAAAACTGTGCCATTTTCTCATTCCGCACCCCTCTAATATTTTTGTCCACAATTCTTTACCAAATAGAAAGCTTCGGCGTTGCTGTCCGCCATTTCCGAAAATGATTCAAACCTTAACGTTTGGGCTTTTGGCTCATCGCATGGAGATCAATATAAAGATTAAGGTGTATATAACGAGCTTTCATAGAAGTTGAAAACAGCGTTCCTGTATTAGGTTTGCAGGACTTTGCTTCAAAAGTAACTTTACCAAGAGGCGGCCACCAAAGGAGGTTCCTCCACAGAACAGCATGGAAGTTATTGCCGCTATTCGCCGCTTTGCTGCGTAGAGTTCCGTGATAGTTTTCTTACACTTCCATCGTACTTCGCTGGAAAGACTCATTTCGATGCCCTTAAGTATGGGCGATTTAAAATGAGATTAGATGAAGAGTGTCAGTTCGGTCTTTGTAGGATTAACATCCACACTGCCAGCGCTGCACAAGTCGCATACTATATAAAAGTCATCAGGAACTTGAGGGTAGATGGTAAAGACGATATTCGAGAATTTATGCTGCTGTAACCGCAAAAATATTCCTCAAATAAATTTTTGTTGAATGTTGCGGGAGTGAAAGTCCTTGACCGGATAAAAAATCCGGGTCGTTCCGGTCTAAAGATTTGACTGTAGAGCGAACTATTGGATTTGAGTCGCCTCTTACGGTAGGGATGCCTTACCGCGGGTAAATTCCCCTAACTCGCAGGAGTGTTTTATAACACCGTGTATTTCAGCGGCATTTTTTTCCGTACAGGAATCCGAGGCTGAATTGATTTTTGGCACTTCGGTAATTGTTTTTTTGGCCTCCCACTGAGTTAAAATCTTTCGGGATGGCCACATATGAATGTGCACGAAAACGCATGATACCGTAGTTTAGAAGGACACCATACAAATCTAGATCGATAGTGGTCGGTTGGGAAAAAAACAGGCTCATTACTTGAAGAATGTGATTACCCATCAGACACTAACAGACTTGATATGGTAATACACCTTGCTACAGCTGGCCCCTTTCTTCGGCTTAACTGCTAAATCGCATATTTATCTAAATTTTCTTTTATAAACATACATATTTAAATTGTAGTAGTTAGGTCGGTTATTTTCGCTTGCCAGTCAGGTAATTTATCAACAGAACAAAAAAAATTATAAGACGGTTCTTTATGTATGGGGTATGGTGTGGTATAGGGGACCTGCCGTACTTGACCCTCGTTTGTTCTCATTTATCAAAAAGAATAAATATAAACTACAGAAATAATTGATTTCCTAATTATTTTAAGAATTTCGCCTGTTCTTAAGAATTTATGTAAATATTACTTTTACGTTTAGTTTATACGAGTATGTATTTTATAGATTGGCATGCACATATTTATAGAATTTATTTAATATGTCCTTTATTTTTTCATTACTGATTTCCAGCCAACTGCATGTTAAATTGATTTTAATTATTTTTTACGCAATCGTATTTTTATTTTCCACTTATATAATTTATTATACAATAATTAATTGTTGTTTTCTATCGCCATTAGAGCTTCCGCCGATGAGATGCGTCAAGCTGCTGTACAATCGGGATTAGCGGGAGGCTTACCCGCGGGCCAGACGACGAATGATCGCGCCAGCATTGTGAACAATGCGCAACCATTCTCCTTCACCGGTGCGGTGGGCACAGATAGCAATGTGTGATAACGTAAAAATGACTGCAAATCTACAACATACATATACATAAACCATTAAAAGCGTTGTGCAGAGAAAAAGTTGTTGTTACGAATGTCAATGAAATAAATGAGATATAAACACACGGCCCGATGAGCCAACACATTCGCAACGGATTCGTAAACAGTTTTTGGCGCGTTTTATTGCGAGCCCGTGCATGGAATTCACTTAAAAAAAACTTCATCTTCTCTGCCAACTTCGATTGATGGCGCCTTCATTGGTTTTATTATTATATTTACATTGTTAGCTGATAGTTCGCTGAATGTTACCATATATATATATATATATATATATTATGTAATTTTTCAAATGATAAAAAGTAATTATGAGGTTCGTAAAATCTGTCTTGCAGCTATATTTTTAAATACAAAAAATGCATCATACTTAATATCTAGTTGTTTGTTATTTTTACTCTTTTTTTTGTCTGAATATACGCATATTTTCATAGCTAAGCAATGTATTCATTCAGCTACACATATACATAAATATGTTTTTTCTATTATATTACATATTTAATCATTTTTGGTTAAATTAAAAAAAAAATATATCTAATTTGTTCTTTTGGCAATACTGAAACTGTTCTTTAACGTAACGGTCAATTGTGCTTGTAACGAGTAAAATTTGTTGCATTCCATGTGTGCAAGTGAAATTCTTGCTAAATTAAAAATGAAATTTTTTTAAAATTATTAATGTGCTTTTGGGTTTAAAACAATTGTGTTTTCATTTAAGTGTCGTATGTTGAATGCGTTATATTACTATGACAGTTCATTTCTACAATCTTTAATAAACATTATAAATGTCAATATTTTTATGCAGTAAAACTCATTATCACACTCTTCATGCTTTGTGCTATCCAGTTGATTATTTTTTTGCGCAACAATTTAAACAAATATTTCTGAAAACAAATTTAAATGTGTGTTTAAAATTAGTTTATTCGTTTAAAATGACATTAAGCAAATACGGAAATGTTGAGCAAACTAAAATAAGCAAATTCAAAAAGTATATGAAAATTATAAATTAAAGAGTCAACGTATCTATGTATTGTATTATCTTAATTTTAGTCATAAATAAATAGTTAAATAAATGTAAAATTTTATCAAAAAGGAAAAAAATGTAAAAGAAGTAAAAACTGAAATTAATGAAAACTTCTATATCCGTATACATACATACTTACATATAATAATCATTATTAAGTATACATGCATAACTATATAATTATGAATAGATACATATTAAAAGTATAAATAAACTATTAAACTAAACTATGGAAAATAAAACCTGAAATTGAAAATAATTAATAAAATTTAAAGTTAAAGAATCGTGTGTTAAATTTTATTTTATTAAGCAATAATTACAAAGGTTTAATGTCAATATGCAGGGTCACCCAATAAGAGGTGTTATTTTAATATTTTAAAGACAAATTTAATTTTTTGAGATAAATGTTGAATTGTACAGGGATGTTATAGAAACCGACAGAGAATGACGTATTTATCGGTATTGCAAATGAATATCGGTTTGAAATGGTGTTTTGAAACCGACTTGATTTTTCTTTTTTTCGAAGATAACCAAAACTGATATTCGAATCAGCTATCATCACACTTGTGCGAAAGGCCCAACAATTCAATTTAATTCTTGTACTGGTTTTAAAACAATCGTGATTATTAACTAAAAAGTGAAATGACCTCGGCAATGATAACATTTTTGATAATAGAAGCATTTGGAGAAACCCTCCAGGAAATAAAGCGCAAAATTGTAAGGGATAAAAGCAATCCGCTGGAGTTGCCAGAGTCGATATAAATGTAATTTTCATTCTACATATTTTACATTTGCTGATACAAAATTTGTTTATATGCCGATTCATAGACCAATATCGTTTTGACATCGTATTGAAAAAAAAGCCTTTGTTATAGTGTTGGATTTCATCCCAACTGTGCCCCCACTTGCCGCCACATTGCGGCTTTTAGCAGAAGGCTTCTTTCAACGGTCTGTGGGACTCAAATATTTCCTTAGCGCGACCTACAGTATCGGTGGTTATAACAGAAATACTAAAGGCTTTTGAACATTTCAATAGCCCACGCTGGATGGTTTTAGGAATTAACGACAGTGAAAAACGAAGAGCTCGTGATCATTTTATCCATCAAGTAAAGCATTCCAGGCATGGCTGGTTTTAAAGTCCATTGATTATGACTTACATTTTTATTAAATTTCCACTTGCAAAGAAATCTGCACAAAATTCTGTCAACGAATAACTGATCGGTTTATTTCTGACATTTAAACCGATAAATCGGTTTCTGTAACACCTAAAATATACACAAATTTTATTTCGAAAGTGAAACCGTAACGCAAATCAATATTCGGAATGTAAAAATCCTTCAACAGAATTTTGTCGGTTTCGAATTTGATTCCGACAACAATCTGTTTCTGTCACACCCCTGGTAATTTCAATGTAAAGGAGAAGATATGTATGCCATTAATAATGGCAAACAATATCATCCAAATAGCCTTCGTCTATACTCTTAACAGTAAAAATTTCCATCACCAAATCGCAAAATGTCTATTGTATGCCCACGACGTTGACCTGTTGGTGTAGACCTTATCTTTCACGTGATCCCATAGGAAGAAATCGCAAGGTGTTAAATTATGGCTTATGGGTGGCAAACTGCAATCACCTCATCGAAAGATAACACTATCCGGAAATTTTTCCCTAAACGAACAATGGTTTCGTCGTCTAGTTGAAAATTAAACGTTGTTCAGATCAATATCATCCAATTCTGGCCATAAAATATCAGCAATCATCTCTCGAAAAAGTAAGGTTCAACGAGCCCGCCGGACCATTAACTGCACCAAACAGTTACACGTTGAGGATGAAGAGGCTTTTCAATAATAAATCTTTTTTTCCGAGCCCCAGTTGCGACAGTTTTGCTCATTGACCTAACTATCGAGCTGAAAATGGGCTGCATCGGTAAAAATTATTTTTCGATGAAATTCCGTATCATTTTTTTAAATTTCGAGGACCCGATCAGCAAAGACACGACGTTGTTGGTGATCGTGCAGCTTGAGTTCTTTCCTTAACTGCACTTTATGAGGCTTAAGATCCACCTCTATATGCAAAGTACGGCGTAAGGACATGCCACAAAAGTCCTTCCGTAGAACGACGAGGAATGGACAAACCTGAGTTTTCTTCAACACTTTGGTCTACAGCAGCAACATTCTCAGTTATTCTTCAGCAACGTGTACGTGTCCACAAAGTCCGACAAGTTGCTCTACGATGACCGAAAAATGTTTTAGTTTTACGAATTTCAATAATTTTAATGCCTTCTTGAAGCGTGGAACGTTCATTTTCATTACTGGCGTAATTTTTACTTTTCAAATGTCAAAGCAACTTCAAAATAAATAAAATAAATTCGGAAGCTCAGTATTCGAGTCCTAGTCTAACCAAAGGTACCAAATTGTGGAGTATTAGTTTTTCTGACAGTCGTCCCTCGGCAGGAATTGTCAAGCCTTCCGTGTGTATTTCTGATATGAAAACCAAAGTTCCTCATAAAAATCATGGCTGCCTGGCTCCTGTTGTTGTTGTTGTAACCGCAAAAATATTCCCCGAATTGGGTTTCGGGAATGACAGTCTTTGGCCGGATATAAATCCGGCTCGTTCCGGTATAAAGACCCGACTGTCGCGGGAACTATTGGATTTTAGTCGCTTCTTATGACAGGCATGCTCCACCACGGCTAAATTCTTGAGCCTCTAGCTCTCTGGTGGCCTTATAAATCTATGCAGTATATATACGAATCCATTAGGTGTGGGATGAATTGAACCACAACTAAATCTACTTCTCACATATTGAACTTAAATGTATGTATTTTTAGAATAATTATTTTGGCCTTCATACTGTGTCATGTTTCAATCATCCAGTGTTTGATTCCAAATAAATGGAAATTTAATTCAATCACAAAATTTTATTTGAAAAAAATGGCTTTTCATCTTCCCTCTAACTGAACTCTTTTCGTTGGCTTTAAAATAATAAAGAAATCTTCAAAATGCCATCACGCCAATTAATCGTGTTCGATTTCGACGAGACTCTCATAAGTGTATGCTGTATGCGTCAACTCTTCAAATTCATACCGAGCCACAGGCGACCACCGATGTACGATGTGGATAAGAAAGGTTGGATCGATTTGGCCAATCTGACATTTAAGGAGCTGCACTCGATGGGCTATTCAGCGACCACTCTCTGCAAGTTTATACGCGCTGTACCGCCTGTTCCGGGTATTGTAAGACTCATACATTATCTGTCGAATTCACGTGAGCCCACATATGATATGATATGTATAAGTGATTGCTATCGATTACTAGTTAACGATTGGTTGGAAAGCCATGCGCTCTCCGAGTGCTTCACCGGCGTTTATTGTAATCCAACGGAAATCAACGAAAATGGAGAATTGATTGCGAGCAGTTATCATTGTGTGGAGTGTCCTTACAGTCCCCCGAACTTGTGTAAGCGTCACGTAATGGACGCATTCATAGCAATGCAAAAACAACTTCATATAAAATATGATCGTGTGGTTTACATCGGTAATGGGAAAGGCGATTTTTGTCCCGTTTTAAGTTTGAGGTCGTGTGATCTTATGTGTGCGCGTCAGGACGATGTGTTGGCGGAGAAAATTAAAAGTTTGAAAAAAATTAAGTTAAAACCGAAAATCTATTTGTGGAACAATGGGCTCGATTTGCTCGCGAAACTAAATGAAAATAAAGATCGCATAAGACACTAATAAATCATAAGAATTGAGTTTGGTGGTTTAAATATTTGTGATTAATTTGATTCGTCCCCCTCCACTTGATGTCTTGTATGTGGATAAGCATCTCACTGGATATGACTTAATTTCTCTGAATCTCCACCGTGTAGCCGGACCGACCTTAAGTCCAACACGACGACTGCCCGACTCTTTCACAAGCAAAAAACTTGTTTCATCCCTAAAATTAACAACAAGTTAACCTCCCGTTATGATATTGTTGATGCTGTAGCAGCTCGTCGTAAGATCAGTCAATGAGCTGTTTCGACAGGTTCGAACCAGATTGAAAAGGAGGTTTAAATGAGTTGGTTTTGGGGGCATGAAAGAGGTGGTTAGTGTCATTCGGAGGCTCATAGCATTCGGCACATGCGTTGAATATGTCGGGGTCAAGTCTACAATATGCAGATCTTAGTTATGCTGTTCCCTGTTGCTAACGGCACTATTTTCAAGCCTCAATAAATATGTCCTATGAGTACACGGCGAGTTGTTGTAGGGATGCATTGAACACGTTTCAGAGCGAGTTGACGTCCAAGGTAACGCCTGCTTTGATGTGTTGGAAAGATATGGATGATAAGGAAATAATGAAACATGCGAATTAGTGTTTGGCCTACTGCGGTGACTCAATGTTTACTGAACATACATTGAACGTACGGCGTCCGAGTTTGAAAAGTCATGAGTTGAGTCTGCTAAAATAGCCAGATCTCCAATGAGCCTGTACTTATCGTGCATTACGGGATAACTTGAGTTAGATAGAGTCTAGTTACAACAACGCCAATCATAAAAGAGAGTTAAGGTAAGACCTCAATGTATCTAGATTTTCCATCTGCAACATGTGTCGAGTCCGACATTTAGTTCGGTGTAGCGCATGACGGGCTGTGGAGCATTACTCTCAGTAACTTTGTGTTATCGACAGCCTGAACTTTCTGTGAATGAATAAATGAAAAATATCAAAGAGACAGCCGTCACTTCCGTACAAACTTCATCAATATCTTGTCCGTAGGCAAATATCGAGCAGTCATCGCCATGAGAAATCAATGAAACTCCATCTGGAGGTGCAGGTAGTTTCCAGGTACAGAAAACATGTAGTGGGCAGAGAGCTCCTTCTTTAAATTTTGTAAGCTCAGACGCTTTACGTCGCCGTCACACATTACCGTATTGGCAAAATATATGTGACCATGGACCGATCTGAAGCTTCTTCGCTTGTGTCCAACTTTATGTATAGTGAGTGCATTTGTTGCTACCTTCGTTGCTGTCGGCTAATGGTTACTTATTTTTGAATTTTTAATGACTCAACGGAGGGAACTATATGGATTTTTTCAAGTTTCCCCAAAAAAAAAAGGATTAGTGTGGATCTCGCTTCACATTGTGAAGGAAATTCTTAGAATTCTTCTCTTCATTGGTGTGAGCACCGCTTATGCGATTATAGCCGAACGAACAATTGCGTGCACTCTGCCTGAAACTTCGTTTGGTGTCGAATGGGTCGGGGAGGTCATTCCAAATTCAGACTACGCCTCTGGTGTTGTCCAGCCATATAAGAAATATCGCAATAAACGGCGTAGAGGCCTGCTCTTTACTGTGCTGTCGAATATAGCTGTAAAACTGATCAAAAGATGATATCTACCAATTCTGGTAAGGTCCACTCAGTTTGCTGACGATGGGACTTAACCTCAAACATAATACGCTCCATAGAACCTTATATGTATGTGATATTTAGGAGCCAATCAATTGGGGCTTCGTATTCGCCATCATCATCATACACCAGGTATACTCTGGACATCGGTCACCAGATTTTCATGCACCGATCTTAAAACCTTCGGTTAGTCGACACATTTTTTTTTATAAATTTTTCGAGCGTTACTCTAATCAGGCAGCTTCTCGAGCTCTGCGTGAGTAATTTCGGTTTCTTTTCCTCTTTAGCTCTCGACACTTGTTGGGTGACATTCTTCAACGTACCAACTCTTTTTCTTCCACTGTCGAAAACCAAATGGAGTTTGAGACGACGTTCCACAGTTCCCTTATATCGAGTTGCTGATTAATGCTTTTAGAAAACAGGTGTGCAAGTCCAATAGAAATCCGTTCTTCTGTTTGTTGTGACTGCAGCTTTGCGACAGCAAACCTTCCGTGTGTTTGTGGATGGGCGTTCTTTGATACACAGAGGCGGCTTTGCAACCGTTGAAGCAATTTTCTGCCGAGCTCGCTCCTCCTCCAATTTGTGGTTTTGCGTCTTGATGTTTTTCTAACAAATGGAGGGACCTACAGTTTATACTAAGCCGCCTCCCATTGGCTGATGGTGTTTTTATGAGGAGCTTTTTATTTCATGTCAGAAATACACTCAGATGAGTGGATATATCCTGCCGAGGGGCGACCACAATTAGAAAATTTAACTTAATTTTATATATAAATTTTTTAAATTAATTTTATATATAAATTTTTTCAATTAATTTTATATAAGTTTTTGGATGTTGGTACGACACCAGACTAACAATAAAAACACAAATAAACAAAATTTATTGCTGTACGTTGAGTTTTCGACTTGAACTTAAGGACAGCACGCGATGTCCGGCTTCACTCCAGCCGACTTCTTTTGAGTCAAACAAGCAGCGATATTTCCCCTTACTTACCAGAGTGACGTAAAATTAGCAGCCCATAAAAGAATAGACAATTTTTTTTTTTTGGTTGGTTGGTTGTCGGCTGTTTTTCGAAAGTACAAAATAAAAAAGGATTTTTTTTTATTAAATTTTCGTTGGGAATTTTCAAAATTGCAAAATTGTTACAAAGTTGTTTATCACATATTTGAATAGTATTTTTTTTATGATTATTTTCTTTTAAAATTTTCAAGTTCAGATTATTTGCATCTAGCAAGAAGGAATTGCAATATTTTATATTTTTTTTTTTTAGTCATTTGCAAGTCGAAAGTAAGATCGTTGTTGTCAACGCAATATCTCAATTGGTATTCTTTAAAATTTGTTTGTACATACATACATATAAAATATATTACAATATAAAAGTGTGTTAAGTGTGTGTTACAAATATATGTATGTATTTGGATGGATGTGTGCTTGTTTAGCATATTCATCTGGCACAATAAAAGTAAACTTAAATAAGCGAAATTAGGAATTGTGACTGGCAACTGTTAATTTTTGGTATTAGATACATTTTTTTTTTTTTGTTCAAATTTGTATATACATACAGGCATACTTATGTATGCGATTCCGATTTTTGAATTCATTTATAATATTTTTTTTTTCTTCTTCTGGTCTAAATTATCACATAAAAAAATGAGTTTTTTAAATAAAATATTGTACTTAAAAGCTTATACATATTTTGAAAATAGTATATTCAACATATAATATCAATATATCAATATGTTTATATGTATGCTAAGGTTGTCGAGATACATAAGCTAATTAGCTGCATAAAAACTTTTTGAAAACATTTTGAATATTAATTATAAAAATATTAATGCAAATTTTGCCTGTAGTGACAACTGAAATTTCACTTTTTTTTTTTCTTAATTCATTTATAGCATAATTAAAGCATTTTTAAAGCAATATCAGCATAGTTGGTATATGTAAAATGTATAATTGCACAAAATATTATTACAAACAAATTCAAATTAGTTCAATTTCAATACTCATGGGAAAACTTAAGTTGCATCTTTTTGCAGGAAATTATAACAGTATTAGCCAAATATTATGTTGCTATTATTACAATTAAAATTCGTCTTTTATTTTGTACTTTGTCGAACAGTTTTGTTATTTATTTTGATTTAATGGTTGTTTTAGGAATCCGTTTTAGCTCATTGTTTTGTTGCGATTTAAAATTTCAATTTGATATTATTTTTGCTGGCCAAATATTTTTTCTGCTTTTACTGTTCAATGTGTATGTGTGTTTTCTTTTGAATTTGATTGAGCTTTGTTTCTTTTTTTTTTTTTGATTTTTTGTTTATATGTTTTTGCCAAACTACCAAATGTCAGTTATTGAAACCATTTTCATTTATGTACATCTTATCATTATTTGTAATTTGTTTTTATTTTATAAATTTTTTTTATTTTGTTTTCATACAACTAAAACTTAAAATGTATTCTCTTATAACTCAAATGTTATTGCATAGCATTAACAAACGATATGTTGTTGTTATAAATGTTTTATTGATTTCATTAACTGGCATTTGGTATTTGGCGCAGTTTTGTATCAAATGTGTTTGCACTTTTCATTAGAGAATTTATTAAAGGCAAAATTTTACAATTCAAAAAAAAAAATACTAAAAAATAGTTCATGTCAACATCATATCATTATACATTTAACTAATTAATCGCATATATATATATGTATTAATTTATTCTTTTTTTTTTTGGAAAATTCACATTCAAGCAATAGAATCGCAGTTAAAAATTTCGGAAATATCACTACTGTCCAATTTCTTTTCAACAATTTAGTATATATACATACATACATATATATATGCAATCAAAATCTAATCGTTTATTAATTAATAGCACAGATAAAAGGAATAAAATATAAGTCTATAAAATTTTTACATTTAAAAAAATATATATATGTACATTATGGACAATTTAAAGATAATAAAAAGTGGAAACACATTCAATATTAAATTCTTCTTCTTCTTCTTCGTCATCTTCTTCTACTCCCTCATTTAAAAATTTACAAATAGCGAATGCATTCTAAAACAAAAAATATTCGCACTTCTCCTAAATTACAAATGAAAATAATAATAATAATAATAATAATAATAATAGTAATAATAATGATTAAAATTAAATGAGCTGTGAATGAATGATTTCATTGATCTTAATGCCAATGGAAAATCACCCGTAAAAGTAACTTAAAATCTATAAATAGTCTTCATGCTTATGATGCATTATCATCTACCCTCATTTCGACTTCATATATATATACATATTTATATTTAATTTTGCACTTTAAACTCAGCCGAAAGTTAAATAACTAAGAAGGAACTCATAACTGGAAATTGGTTAAATATACAAAAACAAAAACCAAAAAAAAAAAAAGAAAAGAAATTAAAATAAATGTTAAGAAGGTAATTATTTCTGGTCCATAGAAATTTGAACATTATTATGAGTAATATAGAGTAAAAAATGCAATAACTCGAGGTACATTTGAATAATTTATGTTTTCTTTTGTTTGTTTGTTTGTTTGTCTATTTTCTCAACATTTTTGCGCTCAAAATGCCACATGAAAACAGCAAGAAAATTTGTACTGAAATTACTCTTCATTATCAAAATGGAAGAATTCATTGAGAGCATTTAAATAGAGCGACAAAAATAGGCATTTAATTTCTGCACACGACAAGTTACTTTGCACTTTTTTTTACATTTCAGTACGTACATGATACATTTATCATTAAAACTAAAAGTAAAATTTATTGTACTATCACAAGGCGTTGGTAGAGCGTGATGATGGAATGAAATGATGGTTGATTTGGATGTTATTAAGTTACCATCAATTTTTAATGGCTACAATTACGCTTAAGCCTACCTATTAGTCGTCTAGCGGTTTCTCACTATTTGTAGGTGGCATTTTTTATCAACTGAATAATTATTCTAATATTATATAGGCTAAAACTTACAATTTCACAATGTTTGATTTTAATTGTTTCATATAGTTTGAAGGAAGTATAGTGTCCCACCAAAAGATAATCTATTTTTTTATTTATAAACAAAACTAAAATTAAAAATCCAAGTTTGAATTTCGTCTGTATGCTTCAGTTTTAGCAAAATTGAAGATGAAAATGATCAGATTAGAGAAAAATTAAATAGATATAAATAAAATAGTTTTGTAGTAGATACATTGAGAAAAAAAAATTAGTTAAAAGCAGCGAGTTGAGTACTAGGAGAAAGCCATAAAAAGTTAAAATTCCTTTTAGTACATTTCGAATAAATATACTATGTATAACAAAAAAATCTATGTTAATTATTTTTTTTGACTCTATGCACACACATTTCGTCACTAAATATCTCAGATATTATGTGTCTTGTACATACATTTTATTCTGACTTCGCTATTCAATAACATGCAATTCAATATTTTTATCACCAAATGACAAGCATTTGAATTAAATTTAAACAAAAATTTGATCGCTATTAAGGCAGTTCACCTTCTTATGCCTCTCTTATAAAATACTTTCTTCGCAAACTTAACTTTCAAATCATTCAGACATATCTATTATTACCGCGCCACACAACATTCAATCATTCGGCACATCTTCTACTTTGATTGGCATGGTATCTAACAGAATACGTTTGAAATAAAATTTTTTGTAAACGAAAAATTCGTCCAAGAATTTAAGCTTGGTGTAAATTTCAGTGGCTGCTGACGTGTATCTTGATTATTATCAAGCTGCAATACCTGCTGTTCTTGCAATTGCTTAATTGAAAGTGTTTTTGTCTGCAGTTCTTGCTGCTCCGTCTGTGGTTGATACGATGTACAGCGCTTTAATATACGCAAATTCGTACCTGAGGCCATGCGTTGCAATTGTTGAACAGCTGGGCTGGCAACCGATGTGGTAAAATGTAAAGATACCGATGCTGGACGTGGTCTTGGCGTCAAATTAGTTACTGTTGGCGGCATATTTACAGCTTCTGCGGCAAGTGCCAATAGTTCTGCTCCAGAGCAGGTCGGCGATGGTAAGGGAGTAGATACAACTCTAGGCTTATTAGCGGCAGTGTTGCAAATCGTATTGCTCTTATTATCCTTATTATTTGTCTCGTTTGAGTTGGCAATAATCATTGATATTTGCTTTTGTACACGATGTTTGTTGTTGCCACCATTGTTGTTATTGGTGTTATTGTTTTTGGTAGTATTTTGTTGTTGTACGCACATTTTATCTCCCTGCGATTTGGCCCGTACGCGCCCACTGCTACCATTTCCATTTGATTGTTGTTGTTGCTGCCTTTGTGCTTTTGCCGATTTGTCAGTTTGTGCAACTGTCTTCTGGTGATGTTGTTTCTCTTTGCGAATTAAATCAAAGGAGCTGATCATCTAAAAAATATAATTAAATAATTTATAAAAAATGTATTGACATATGAAGTGTTTAAAAATCGAAATTATTATAATTCAAAAAATTTAATTATTTAAAAAATAAAATGAAAATTACTTAAAAACAATTTGTATTTATAATTCAAAAAATTAAAATATTTAAAGTATAAAATGAAAGAAATTTAAAAACAAATAAATAAACAGGTACAAAAAAAAATTAGATGTACACACATATAAAGCGGGATGGACGTGCATTTTGCATTAGAGTTCAACAATATTTACCTTTTCTCCATTTTGGTTATTACCACTTTGACTTTGGCTGTGAAACAATTGGCGTTTGGATGATGGGTTGCCGCCCGCAACGTTGCTCTGATTGCTATGTTGTCCATTATTAATGCTGCTGGCAGCACTGAGTTTTGTTGAGCTGCCATTGCGCTTATGATTCGACACTGTTTTACTGTGTGCAGAATCAGAAGGCGATGATTCGGTTGCCGATTCAGCACAATCTGACCCCACTGTCTTAATGTTATTTGAACTTTTGTCATTATTATTTGAATTGCAATCCAAGTCACCCATTGATTTATGACGTTGTCTTTTTGAACGATTGCTATTGTTACCATTTTTTGATCCTGATGATACGGCACTGTAATTACCGCTATCCGAAGTTGTGCCACCGCTGCTACTTGAAGTGTTGTGCTTATCCTCATAATTATCAAGATGTTTGTTCTTCTTACCGCTATTACTCGTATTTAAGTTCTTTTGGTTATTGCTACCTACTGCAGCAGCTGCTGCTGCCGCTGCAGTTGTCATCAGCGTTGTAGGTGAATTCAATTCAGGCGAACTACTTCCGCCGCCACCAGTATATTTACGTCGTGTTTCAATACCGGAGCGCTTATCATTCACCCACTTTTTAAGCCTTTTTACAAATGGTATGATCATGAAAAATGAATTTGCGTTAATACCCAATTTGGCTTTAGATATGGCATCATTTTTATTAACTGGTAACGAATCGATCGGAAACCAATCACAGCATTTAATCTCATTGCGAGTCCGCGGTGAGAATTGTGTATCTAGTGATACACCCCGTACTATATACAATCGTGTGTATTGATAATTGATAACAGCCTCAATATAATCATTTGGTACTATTAGCTTCGTAATATCGTAGCCAGTCTCTTCATACACCTAACATTACAAAAAAAAAGATATATGTAAATTAGTAAAAAATAGTTTTATGGAAATATAATTTAAATTACGAAAGAAATAAAATATCAGACTTGTTGAACTTACTTCTCTTGTTGCACAATGCGCCGGATCTTCGTTCTCATTGACTTTACCCTTTGGAAAGCCCCATGAACTCTTAGCAAAATATGATTGCACTAAAAGGCAAAAGTTGAGATCCTCAGATATTAATATAGCTCCAAATGTGGGGACTGATAATTTATAATTTTTCCAATCATCCAATATTTTATCGATTGATGATAAATGATCACGGAGAAATGAAATATGCTAAATTTGAAAAAAAAAAAAATAATAATTAGCATTTTATATTAAAAAATATATATATTAAGCATTACATATTTATACAAAAAATTTGTTTTCGAGTACCTAAATAATTATAAAATTATATACCTGAAATATCTGTATCGCAAACTGCTTAATGCCACATGATGGTAATTTCTTCTTTTTGATGCCTTCTTCACTTTGCAGTTGTTGATCTCCTCCAGAAGCGCAAAAGAAATCCAAGTAAAACCAATGCGCTAACTCAATTTGAAAGCAAATCCTTATCAAGTTATTCAATTCCATATCGGGAACATTAATTATAAATCGACATGCCAAGTCATCAAGTATGTCGGACGGAATTTGTAAACCATTTTTGGTGCCATTGACTGATTTAACCGCAGAGTTTTTGCTTGCAACTGGAATTCTTGTAGCGACGGGAGATGATTCTGTAATTGATGATGTTGATAATGTTGCCAGTGTTAGAGATGATGTTACTGATGATGGTGATGTCGACAAATTTGATGAATCCAAACTAGTACTAAGTGTGTTGTGAATAAAATTGTTTTTTATATTTGTCGTTCCCTTTAAAACAGACAATAACTCCGTAGACGTTGTAGCGAAATTTTCTGATTGCTGAGCTTGCAGCGCTAGACCACTGCTATTGCACTGGAATATTTTTTGCTGTTGACATTTTTCGTCTTCAACCAAATTTTGAATATCGATCTCATTTACATTCTTATTAAGATTGAGCGCATTTTTAAGAGATAGCGATGCCAACGCATATTCATCACCAGGTGTGATTACTGAATATGGAAAAAAGTTTTGTTTTACATTGTAAATACTAGGAGAATATGCAATAATATTTTTACCTCCTTCCTTTTTACAACATTCCTGTGCCGATCCAATCAAATTTAAAATGCCTTGGCCGAGATCAACTGCACCGTTATTATCGATATTATAATTTTTGATGTAAATACTATTATTACATTTGGTTTCCAACAAAGTCGGATATCTTTCGACTGCAGCCAATTGTTGGGTATGCGTTGAGGACGCAACGACTGAATTAAGAGCAACGTCCATCACTAATCTTTGGCTCGTATTTTTCTCTTTTCTACTTTTATTCTTAAAGTTCTTTATATCGCTTTAGTCGTTTTTATAAATGCTTTTTTTTTGCATTAAAAACTGCAAATAATTTCTTTAAGCAACAAAACACGAAACGTAATATACCGATTAGCTTCTCGTTATTATATATATATAGCGAGTAAAATAACCCGAAGTCAATTTTTAGAGACGAGTGTTATGCGGAGCTACAGATTGTTTTCCTTTGAGATTTGTCTATGTATAAACGCCTTTTGATTTAATTCTTTTGTAAGCGGCTTGTCATAACTTTTTCAGAAGAAGTTTTTTATTTTGATATTTCAGTGATTTAGATATTGTTTTTATTTTAAAAGTCACAGCGTTATGGAGAGCCATCCACAGTAGAGTTGCAACTTCTTTAAAATTTATTGTTTTTTTCTATTCAAAACAGGGCAACACTTTTGCATTCCACACTCTCCACCATCTAACACTCTGCTTTGGTATTGGTGTATTTGTACACTTTCTAAATGGCGAACAGGAAACAATTTTATTTTGCTGTCTCGCTTTTTTAAGATTAAATTTATGTAATTCAATTTATTTAACACGTTAGAACAGTTTCCTATATGTACAACTTAGCTTGAAACTTTTCTTTTCTTTACAAAATAATGAATTTTGTCCTTCAATAATTTTTCACCACCTTTTCGTTGGTCAACTGCGTGTCGTAAACTGAAAGTAAAACACGATCTTCGCGGGTTTTATCGTATTTCAGTAGGTAGCCACCGCGTTGAAAAATACAAATTTTTTTTTTTGGGTCATTATAAATATCTTAACGGCTTCTGCTTTTCATTGCTTTGCCTGCCATAAATGGTGGCTTGGGTTAGTGTTTAACTTCTTTCGTAGATTAAAAAAGAAACCGCAGGCATGCCTATTGTTTTTAATAGTAATGATTTGATTCAAAGAAATGTTTAAGAATTTTTGATTGCAAGAAATGTTCGACCGATTTTTCCCCCCTAAATGTATAAAAAAAATTGCCTGAATTTCACAATTTTGGGTCATTACAAATATTTTAACGTCTTCTGCTGCCATAAATGTTGTCCTAGGTTAGTGTTTAACTTCTTTTGTAGATTAAATAGAAAACCACAGGCATGTCTATTGTTTTAAATAGTAATGATTTGATTCAAAAAAAGGTTAAAGAATTTTTACCCCTAAATGAATGGAAAAAATTGCCTAGAAGTCTGCCAAATTTCGCACAATTCGTTCCGCCTATTGTTTTAATTAGTAATGGTTTGATTGCAAGAAATGTTCGACCGATTTTTCCCCTTAATGTATAAAAAAAAATGCCTGAAATTCTGCCGACTTTCGCAATTTTGGGTCATTATAAATATTTTAACGTCGTCTGCTTTTAATTGCTTTGTCTGCCATAAACGGTGGCCTAGGTTAGTTTCGCATAATTCGTTCCGCTACTGGTAAGTTCTTTTGTTTTATAACACAACTGTAGAATTTTTATAAACAATGTTTTAAGGATTTTATCAATAACAAATTATTTGTTTATTGTTGTTTATTGTTTGTACAGACAAATTTTATGAGAAAAATTACATACTCATGGCATCTCACAGTATACTTAAATCTAGGCATTAAAGGTCCCTGAAGATAAACAGAAATGGGTATTAAAAACCCTTCAGCTCACAGAGGACGGTTAAATTTTTTTCTAATGGAGCAAGTTGCGTTATTCTAGGACAGATACAATTTTGCTATTTAGTTATTAATATATTGGGTGCGGATCACTTTGAAATCCTTAATCCCGCATAACTGAATTAAAAGACAATAAGCAAAGCCACAACTGGCACAGCGTAATTCTGCATGTTGTAAGAGTTAACTTTATCAACGGAACCACCCGGATTTATATGTTAGCGGTGGGTCATCTAAGTAGAGGTCCAGAAAATGAGTTATTTCAACGGGTTCGGACCAGATTGCTAGATAGGTGAAATGAGTACGTTTTAGGGGGCACACAAAGAGCAGGTTAGTGTCGTGCGGCAACTCATTGCATACAGGTCTCGAGGTCGGATATGAATAAGTAAGATTTTGACCTGCTACAATATCCAGACCTTAATTGCGCTAGTATTGCGCGGTGCTCCCGAGGCAGCTCGAACTTTTCGTCTGGTATAGGTGGTGATTTATTTCCTTCGGTTGCATCCCAGCAGAAATTGTTTGCCCAGCAAAGCAGTATGAAATTTAACTCGTAACATTGATGCTTCGCTGCGCAAATGATACTTTGTAAGTAAACTTTTATAGACGGCCCTTTTCAGCTCTTCACTGCAAAACAATTAAGACTACAACCCAAAAATTCTCGGCAACACTACTCACCAACTGGACGAAGGAGTACAGGCTTGAACTCGATGTGAAAGTCGACGGCGTCAAAATTCCGTCTATAAACAAACCGACAGCCCCTGGGTAAAAAAGAAAGAAACTTAGCTGGCAATGTGCAAAGCAATTCGCCGGTCGGTCGTAAGCTACGCTGCACAGATCTCGACAATGGGGATAAACGATACGCAATTGAAGAAGTTACAAGTCTGCCAAACCATAACCCTCAGGACCGGTATAAAAAACCTTGTGATGTTACCAGAGTCCCTATCTTTATCCTGCTAAGGTCTGTTGCTCCCGCAACATTCCCCGGAAACTACTATGTGGAATATGTTTGCGTCTACAACAGTCACGCATTGCCGCAGGAAAATTCTTAAATTTTAAATGTTTGAACGTCATTATTTTATAACAAACAAAATTAATTTAAAGTGTGATTTTGCCATTTAAAATACGCCCCCTTCGAAAAGCATAATACATTTTAGTTTTACTGTTGTATCAAAAGAATTCGGTCGAATTTCGTCCTAGACATTTCGGTCCTATGATTATACAAATAAAATACATTGGTTTTTTGCTTTTTTTTATTCTTGCTATTACAGTGTGTGAATTGACCTAGAATTTGTTTACATAAGCAGCATAATAACCGTTGCCGTAAATTCATTTTAAGTAGATGTAAACTACAGTTATATGAGAGAACGTAGAATAATATACGTTCTCTGTAAATACTATTAGTACCGATACCGATAAATGTTTTAATCGAGAACTTATTGAACACACTCGTTTTGCAACAAACTTTATCAGCTGTTATGCACATCGGTGCATTGATAACATTGCAACTGAAACTGTTGTTGTCGTTCCGTTGATGCAGTTTTTGTTGTGAACTCTTAATTGTGGCATTTATAATTTCATAGCAAATGTTTTGAGGTACTCGTGCGGTGGTGGAGGTTTAAAAACAGGATGACCTTCTTTGTCCAAGTAATTTGAATATTTTATCACATTTACACAATCCATATTTAAACGTTCGCAAAGTTTTGCAGAATAGTAACTTGTGCAATCTAGAGTTAGCAATGGATATCCAAGCTGCCTACCTATAATTTTTAACTCTTCTATGAGACTTGCACCGATAGCACGACCACGAAGTTTAGCGTCTACAGCTAAAATATGAATATGTATTGCCTTTGAAACATTATACGTCTTATACACATTGGAGTCGCGCTCTGAACAGCCTAAAATCTGAAGTGCTGCACCCCACTTTGTGGATCCAAAATGTGCGGCATCTTCAAACAAATGCTCAGCTTCGTTGCTGGTCTTTGGTCCCGATATCAAAACACCAATAATTTGCTCTTCCCTCACTGCCATTAAACATGTTCCGTGAACAATTTGTGACATATTAAATTTCTCATCTTCTGGATCTTGTTCCTTTGGTTCACATCCAATGGTCAAAGGTTCCTCTTGATAATAGTGCGTACGTAGAAAATACAGCACTCTGTCGTGATCGCTTGAATTAATTATGCGAATTTGTATACTATCAGATTTCGATGATTTGTTCCAATATTTGGTCATGGAACTATCTTTCTGAATTGTATTACCCGTCATTCTTACTGATTTATTTTCCTTTCTTTAGATGAGTATTTAAAATACATGCTGCCTTTGCTGTGATAATACTAAAAGCATGTTTTCTGTGAAAGCATCTATATATGTGTACGTACAAATGTGTATTTTTGTTGTAGCCGCAGCTGTTGCAGTATTTACTTCATCGTTAAAATAAGGCGGATACACTTTTCGTTAAATCAACGCTACGTTTAAACATGCATTTAATTTACATACAAGAGTTGAGGAATATTGATGTATGTATGTTTGAGTTTTGCGAGATAAATACTTTTAAACACAAAATTCTAAATTTTGGTCATACTTTTTATACATATGTAAATACTAATTGAAATGTTTACTTTACTACCAAATTTTAAGTAATTCCATAAAAACGATTTGCAATGCTGTATAAACTATATTTTTATCTAATCGTAGACTGTATAAAATTATATAAGCACGTACGTAAAAATTTAAATATTTTCTCAATATTGGCATTTAGTTAAAAGTTTTATCGTAAACTGCTAAATACGAGACCGAGCGGGCGATATGAATAAAGCATGTTCTCGATAGAGAGCGTGTATAATGTTCATTATGGAGAACATTCTAACAGAATATTCTAGATGATGCATGCGAGCAATTGTAGCTATAAGAGAACGAAGCTAAGTTAAGTTGAGTTTGGAAACTCGGTAGTGACAACATCTTTGTGCAGTGAAACCAAATCAACTGTGTGTTTTTACAACTGATGATGTGTCTGGTATGAGAGCCCTTTCAACTGCTGGCAATATTTTTACTATATATGAGATCACAACTGAATCGTTAAATATTTCGATGTACATAAATTATGATGTTAACATAATAAAAAATATATGAATTATTTTAATAATGAATTACACTGTTATTGCTCAAATATCGTTTTGCAGATAATTTAACAAGTTTCAAGACGACTCGACTAGGAGAGTTGCCTTCGGCGGACATTTTAGAACGGCTGAACTCGATACCATGGCGATATTACCGGCGATAATTTTTTGCAAAGGGTGTCTCGGTTTTTTATTGCCGTCAACAAAGGATGTTTGGTAACAAGCTATGTGAAAATAATAATTATCGAACTCGATCGTGCGGCAAATCAATTAGATGACTTAACTGCAAATCTGGGGATCGACCACCCAATTCGTTGTATCCTTAATAAGCTCCTCTATTTTATCATACAGTTTATTCTTATGTAAACACAGAGTTCACTAATTGTACAACTCTTTATAAGCACATAGTTTATTCACACAGTTTACTCGTTATCCCTTTCAACCAATGTTGTCAATACCGAGTTCCAAACTCAAATGAACATGCCAACAGTGTCCGCCTCGTTCTTATATAGCTAAAGATTTCTTCGCAGCTTCTAGAAGATTCTGTTAGAATGTTCTCGATAACGAACATGCTTAATTACTGAACTCTCCTCACCTAAAATTAGTATTTGGCATTTATTTTAAAATTTGCATATTGTACAACAAAAGAACATTAAAAATTTGTTTTTAAGTTATTAATTATTATTCTGTACGAATTTTGATTATTTTAGAAATGTGATAAGAACATTGTTAAAATAGAACGTTGTCATCCTTTGACAATACACTACTATTTTGCTTGCGTCCCATTTTCGATTCACAATAAAAACAAATGAAAAATAAGCCTTTATAATAATAAATAGTTTGCAATTATGTATGAGGTACTTGTGTGGCATTTTAAGATTGTGACGTGTATTCATAGAACAAAAATCTCATGGCGCAATCTATTCTCTATAATTTTTGTACCTAAAATTATTCGCTTATGTTTTTACTAAAAATGCAAAATTTTTCGGTGGATTATCACAAACTGAAACACGGCAACCTTTGTAATGTTTTTACTTTCAATTGTGTAGGGGCTGTTTTCATATACTCGGGCCATAATTTAATTTTAGTTTTTTTACACGGGTAATTTTTTCTAAATAAACATTTCTTAACAAGCAATCTTCCCTACAGATTGCTGTGAGAAATGCCTCTTTTATAAATATAAAAATACTTGAAACATTTTGTATAATGAAATCATTTCCTAAGTGACAACTATGGTATAAATAAAGTGAAAATAAAAACTCAAGTGATGGTCGGTCACCCAAACACAAAAGAAGTTCCTATTAGATTGATGCGATTTGGACACTTTTTCAAAGTTATTTTTGCAGAAAAATATGTAGTAAAATTTCCAACAAATGTAGCTGTAAAGTTTCTACTGTGACATAAGAAAAGAGTTGGAAAGATGCAAATTAAAAGGTGCGACTGCAAAAATTATTTGCCCACACATATGCATTTGTGAATAATAAGGTGAAGTAATTAAAAATATATACTCTTCAAACTAGCAAGTCTTTGGAGAAAAAAGCATTATTCTTTTGCTAACAATAAAACAAATGCAGAATATTTAAAATTTATCTAATATGCAAAGCAGAGAGATATAAATAACGTCACGAATTTGTATATCAATAGACATGTAAGTATGTATGTACGTATGTACATTTGTAAATGGTATTAACAAGATTTGTATGAATAAGTAGACGAATCCTAGGAAGTAAGTAAAACCAACACACACATACCAATTTTTTAAATTAAATATTCTATTTATTTATATAACTCTTAAAAAAAGACAGTGAAAATCGATTTCTTTTTATTTATACATATGCACATAGTGCGTAATATAAGTATTCATGGCTGATGATTCTTCTATATACTCACCAGAGTCATGAAATCCTCTAAACAATAGTACCAGTGTTAAAATTCAGTCTAATATAAATCAAAACAAAAGAATATGTACATAAGTGTGAGAATGCGAAGCTTCAATTTGCATAAGCGCTTATGGGAACGCTAGATTTCGCTTACGAATGTACTATAATTAAGAACTCATTACTACTGAAATTTTTTTTAGTATTTTAATGATTACAATTTCGTAAGGCATCCTAAAATAATACTTATTACTCGTCCATGAGTATTATTTTATATATTAGTAGTCTGAAGTTTATAACTTTCTAAAAAATTATTATTATTTACGAGAACTAACCAGTTGTCATTCCATATTTTCATATTTTCAGAATTACAGATAATATCATATAAATCTGATACCTTCGTTAATACATATACACATATGTATGTATGTACAATGCCGCTTGAGTGGATAAATAATAAGCGGCGCATGGGAATTGTGACAGCTGCATTTAGTGCTAACTAAAGTAATAATAAAGTTGCGCGTCTGATACAAATCTACTACACTACAAATCACACCTATAACTCTAGAACCATACTCTCATCAAAGCAATAGGTTAAAGGATATTAAAAATGAAATGCGTACAGAATTCCATGACACTTTTTACATATTGAATGTCTATGTATAATTTTGAAGAAGGACATACACACAATGCAGTAAAAGAATTGATTTTACACCAAAGGAAATCTATTTTGATCAACCTATCCAGAAGGATAATCTATCGAAAGAAAAACTTAACAATATATTTGTAACAGACTACTAACGAGTGAGCGATAATGTTTAAAATACGTCAACGTAATTGTTTACTAGGGACTGCCTTCGTGGTGCTAGTTCCCTGTCTGGTTGGCCTATTTATTGTGGGTCCAGAATTATCCACCGAACAGTCACTGTCACAACAATTGGCCGAATGCAGATTCCGACTGCAGTACCTTGAATCTATGTATCGATCGAGACAAGAAGATGTTGCTATACTTTCCCAGTATTTGCATCTTAGTAATGCGACAACAATCGGCTTGGCGACTGTTGCTCCATTACCGTACGGTAATGAATTCAACACCAGTACATCGGCCATGCCAGCCGCCGGATTGCCTACTCTACTCAAATCGTTGAGTCCTGAAGCGAGACAATTAATTAAAAATGCCACACACACACATACCACACAACGTTTTAGTTCATCACCGGTTATACGCCTGCCGACAGCATATAATTTTCTACCACATCTACTGGATGATTCCGCATCATTGCGTCCGGCTTATATACGTTCGAAAGGTCGAACAGATGTTAGTATTGTGTTAGGCATACCGACTGTAAAACGTGAAAAACAGTCGTATTTAGTGAGCACATTACAAAATCTCATCGAAAACATGAATGAGGAGGAGCAAAATGAAACTTTAATTATTGTTTATATTGGTGAATTAGAAGAGGATGTCGTCCATACAATAGCCAAACAAGTCGAGTTGAATTTCGAAGCTTATGTGGAATGTGGGCTGATTGATATTATAGCACCCTCACCGTCTTATTATCCAAACTTTGAAACATTACGTATAACTCTGCAAGACTCTTTGGAACGTGTTAAGTGGCGAAGTAAACAAAATCTGGACTTTGCTTACTTGATGTCTTATGCGCAATCAAAAGGTAAGATGATACGTAAAAGCATTATATATAAACGGCTAAAAGATTTATTCAGACATTTAGTCTATAAAACGAATCGGTTATGTTATATTACACTGGCTGGGACAACGTCTTACCTAAACTTATTGGTTCTGTGTAGTTTTAAATGGACGTTCAGCCCGATTCGGGGAGTAGGACGTTAACGATTTTTGCATCTGGCTTTGAGCTTTCATCCAATCCCCCTACCTTCGAGGCACCTGCCTTCTTGCTTGCTATTCATGTAAACCATAAGTAATACCTTTTTTATGGATTGTTATTAGGGCTACTACCGTCCCTTTTTTCCTTTCGAGATTAAATGAGCAAACGTTGTCGGCATTCTGAATCCTGCATCGCCCTTCCGCATGGTGACACCGCTCTTCCATACACTTATGCCATTACATCTCGCTCTGGTCCAAATTCCATCTCTTGCGACAAGATCCTGTCATACCATCTCCGCTAAATATGTAGGCCACACGGTCAGCCAGTTTATATTGGTTTGTATAAAAGTTGTGAATTCCGTCCAAAGGCAACACTCATCTACGTCATTCACCACCTTTTAAGATATATTTATTTTCCAGAAAAATCTCGGGACTCTGTGGTCTATCTGTAAAGTGTTTTTTGTTGAGTTTTGCGAGAGTGACAGTCCATGTCCGGATCAAATCGGAATTGCAGGACCTATTAGATTTTACCATGGGTATATTCTTGAGAATCTAACCGCAGGGGTGATTCATTCAGTATACTCTGCACTTGTTTATTAATAAATGATCGAAGATCCGTTCAACTTATTTTGCTTGTTGTTTTTATTTACTATTAATATTTGATCTGTACATAGCTCACCTTACATTCCCTTCCAGGCACATTCTACGTTCAATTGGAAGACGACATATTGGCCAAATCGCATTTTATTACAGCTATGAAGAAATTCGCCATAACCAAAAGCGCCCTAACCAAACCCGATCAGCCATCGTGGTTTGTTCTGGATTTCTGCCAGTTGGGTTTCATTGGCAAAATGTTCAAATCGGCAGAATTACCATATTTAATAACATATTTTCAAATGTTCTACAATGATAAGCCAGTGGATTGGCTGCTACTCTATTTTATCGAATCGAAAGTTTGTCGCTCAGACAAAGATCAAAAGCATTGCAATTTGGAACGTGCCAAGTATTGGTTGCACTATCGCCCATCGTTGTTTCAACACATAGGCACCAGTTCGTCGCTTAAGGGTAAAGTACAAAAGTTGAAGGATAAACAATTCGGCTCTAAAGTACCGTCATTCCATCCACATATGCACAATCCACCGGCGCGTGTCCGCTCAAATATTGTGGCGTACAAAAACTATTTACTGAAGCGTGCCTATCGTGGTGAGACATACTTCTGGGGCTTATTGCCGCAGCCCGGCGATTTGGTGCGATTCATGTTCGATAAACCGTTACTTTTACGACGCTATCTCTTTCGCAGCGGCAACAGCGAACATCCATCGGATCGTTTCTACAACACCACCGTAGAAGTGTTACCTTCAGATACGTTGAGCGAAAATTCATCTGTATGGAGTGCGTATAACTCTACAACGGATGAATATCTCATTGTGGGTGCATTTGATGGTTTGGGTGTAGCCGAGGGTACAATCGATCCTAAAATCGGTGCCATCAAGGAGATACGTTTGCATGTGCATAGCGACAGTGAAAATTGGGCATTATTGAGTGAAATCGATTTGGAAACAAATAGTGGTACCGTTAGCAGTGTTGATAAGTCCTACACGAATAGCTGATTGCTACAACATCGGAGCTATACAGTCGCAGGAAATATACAACCCAATACAAGCTAAAAAGGAAACGTTTGTAAACATTCATTACACACAACTTTTTACATACATCACCGAACTTCCACCAAGCGAATTCTGTACGTACTATATGTGTTTGTAGTTAATAACAAAAAAAAAAGAAGAAAAAAAACGAAAATGAAGAAAAACCGAATATATAGCTTTGCTGCACTCTTGGTATAACCAAGCCGAGCTCATTAATTTATGTATAACGCCGCATTGATAAGGTGTTGATAAAAATAGTTGCGTGTAAGAAATATGTATAAGTGATGAAAAAAAATAGCAAATATTTAAGCATGTACATGCATGCATGGTTTTATGATATTAATGTTTTATTGTCCGTAAAATGTGAGATCGATATTTATATTGTTTTTTGTTTGTTTGTTTTTTAATCCGTTTAATAGCCGTAACGATTCCGTGATATTTTTATAACCCTATACAATTAGTAATTGTATATATGTATGTATGTAAATTTGTTTCCTCGAATATTTACATTTTATAAACTATATTTTCCTAAAGTCCACAAAAGTATATGTACATATATTTGTACAATTATATTTCTATACATACATATGTATTGTTTCCAGTGATTAATCTAAAATTGTTCGTTGATTATATTCAAGAAATAAGCATATTTATTTGCTTTATAGTTGTAATAACAATTTCGTTAAGCATTAAAAAGACGATTTCCTTATGCATTTCATTTAATTCTTTTATACTAATTAATAATTTAATTCTTTTATACTAATTAATAATTATAATAATTATTTCTTTTATACTAATTATTATTATATAGGGTGCTATTCAATAATTTGTTTCTTTTTTGTTTTTGTTTTGTTTTTTGTGCTCTTTTGATGTAACTAAATTATATTTTTTTTAATTTTCTTTATTTAATGTCAATTCACTTATTATTCACTTCCCAAAAAAATGGAACATGGACACCTGTCTTCTATGAAACATCCATTATTTGCATTTCTTGATTTCAACAGTAGAGTTATTTGGAATGTTTTTGGGATTAAGCAATTGTTGCTGTGTTCGTTTCCTTTGCAAAACAATTATTTTACTAAACATAATACAATTTTTCTACAAATCATCTATGAACTCAAATTAATTTAAATTAATATCCTGCTCTATTCTAGTAGCATCTAATAATTAATTTTAGTTAATCTTGAACAATTTTAGAGGAACTAGGCTCATTGTCATCATCTTCGTCATGTCTCTCATTAATATTTGAAGCCTTGCGTATCAAATTACTTTCATTTATTAGTCTTTTCAAAGAATATTGTGCCATTGGATCTCTTTTTTTGCTAAGAAAGTTCTTCCAAAAATTGAAATATTAAAAATTGATCCTGATTTGATAAAATTAGCTTCATTTCTTTGAAATTCAATAGACTTAAACTCTCTAGTTTCATTATTGTCATGTGAAAGAAAGTGTAACCAGATAAAATACAAGAAAAATAATTATTAGCATTTTCTATTTTCCCTGGAGTGTAAAGATTATCAAATATTATTATTTATTACAAGCCATTGCCACGTAAACAGAATTCATTTGTTAAAAGAAAAGAACAAACGATAAGTTTTCAACCATATAAAATCAATTAATTGCATGGACTCCTTTATATGATTATTTGGAAGGCCAGAAAACATACACATATAAAAATACTATTAAAGAATAAGAAACATTTCCTTCTAAATAATTTACTAACAAACCCGGTTGTGACATATGAGCAACTCTAACTTCTAGTGGATTTGGAACACCTTCAATTATTTACTCAATCATCCAACTAAAATTTCCTTATTTAAAATTAGATTTTATCATATTGATAATAGGCATAAAATACTCAAATTTAGACACAAATCTCTTTTTTGGACTTAAAAAGTCTGAGCCTTCCAATTGTGAATTTGTAGGAAACAGGACTTATTATTATAATTTCATGTCCAGTATGAAATTTGTTTATATTTTTTAAAATTACACCTCTTTCTCTATATTCTGGTGATATTTCTATTTCATCTTAAAATTTTATGATAGATAAATTTTCGTATTTTAAAACACGATTCCAGTTAGTCCTTGTAGCACCAACAATTTGCCATGGTTCTTAATATACAATCTTCTGGTATTTTTCCTAAATTCTCTCAAATTTCTCTCTTTTGTTATATTAAATAAAAATCAACATTATTCGCCAATAGCATGCAATGCTTGTATAAGACTGTGTCTATCTGAGAAACTATCAGAACCTTGAATTTGAACCCTTTCTTCACCCATATATATATATGGTTATATCTAACGTCAAATCTGTTTTGTAATCTTTCTTAAATTATTTGCCCTTCAAAATGTATTAATTTTAACTGATTAATCTGTCAACTTATTTTTACTTTATATTAAAAGTACTGTAAAGTACTGGAAGATAAAAAGTTTCTTCGATTTACGGCTCTTTTTCTATTAAAACTAAAAAATTTTCATTGTTATTTTTAAAGTAAATGTATTAAAGTTTTACATTTTTTTTTGTTTTGTATGACATTGATAGCTAATGCTCTTCCGAAATTTGTTAATTAAATACTCTTGCGATTCTTTACGATTAATTCTTCTTCAACATGTTGCCGTAGAGAATCCATATCCCATTCTATTCATCTCAGTGGTACTTTCTTCAGAAATGCAAGGTATGCATCTAGATTTTCAGCTTATCCATAATTACAGGGTTTAATTGTTCATAATTTAAAATGAATTCCGATGTAGTTGTCTGTCTTTAAATACTGAAGTATTATTACTAATGGTTCTTGCATATTATTCACTTGTCTGTTAATAAAACTCATTCGTGGATGAATTATGAGTCAAAGATTTTAACTTCTCTCCAATTGTTTTTCTTATATCTACACATGACTCTTCCAAAATGATGACCATCATAATTACTAATAGTTGAGGGAACTTCTGCTTCTTTAGCTTTAATTATGTCTATTGATATTGGAAATTTGATGCTAATTGTTGACATCGTACTTGAGAGTAGATTTTGGTCTTGAATGTTTTTTTTTTTGCATTTCTTTGCATCATTTTGATTAATACTGCACAGTGGCTGAGTTCTAAGGATTTCAATAATTTCTTTTGTAGCTTTTAACTATTTTAGAACATCATTTCATTAAAAAATTCTTATTATGATCAGCCTCCATGTTTATATTTAGTTAATTAAGGCTATGATCTTACTACTTAGCTGATAGCGTAGTGCTGCATGATTAGATTGCACATACATATGTACTATGCTTTTATAAATAAAAAATATTTTTTATACTTAATGACATACATATGTATGTATGTACATACCATACTCGAATTTGTATTAAACTAAAAATATTTAAAAGAAAAACTGTTTATTTAACATTAATATAAATATGTATGTTCATAAAACATTGTTTGCTGTGAACTTTGTCTCCTAATATGAGGTGTATTAAATACATATGTATATGTATTTTATAAATGTACATATAGTGTATGCACACAAATGCATTCGTATCAACATATATGTAAAGATTAAATAATTTTAAAGCCTAAAATTGTAAAGTCGTTTCAATGTACAATGTATTTGTATATATGTATATCCATGTGAAAGTATATGCCTGTGTTGTGCTTGTACTATTCTTCTGAATCATACATAATGTCATTGTGAAAAAAAATATAATATGTATGTAGTCATGAATGTATATGTTTCAATAACTTTCTATAAAAAAAAATCCTGAAAACCTGGAAAATTATTTTAAAAACACAGGCGTAGCGCAGAGATGAGTTCTAAGCATTGGTTTATGAAAAAAAAAAACGATTTTGAAAATTTTCGAGTTTTGACAATTTTTGGTTTAATGCGAAATTTGTTAGTACAGAATCACATGGGCAGTACTGTGAAATGAAATTCGAATATTTAAATATTTTTTTTCTTTTAATGTACATAACTGTTCGCCGAGCGACGTTATTTAATATGTAAAACTATTTTTTTTTTATTATAAAATATATGCACACACTAAATTCTTTAAAAATAAAATGTCGATTGGTATTATTTATATAAAAATTTTAATTATTACACATAGCTTCTTTTAATAAAATCGCTGTTCATATGAAGCTATATTTGACTGATAATTTGCAAATATGTATATCAAAAAAAAATATGTGTGTATATGCATATCCAAAATATGTATATATGTTTTATATATGGGTGCAGGTAGATTTTTTGCAGCATATATTTTTGATAATACCCTTTATATGTCTGCTTAAGCCGAATAATAATAATAATAATAATAATAATAATAATAATAATAATAGTAATAATAATAATAATAATAATAATAATAATAATAATAATAATAATAATAATAACAATAACAATAATAATAATAATAATATTAATAATAATAATAATAATAATAATAATAATAATAATAATAATAATAATAATAATAATAATAATAATAATAATAATAATAATAATAATAACAATAATAATAGTTATTATTATTATTATATTATTTTCAGAAGTCTTTTTTGCGCAATGCAATTTAAAGTATTTTTTTATGAAATAATTTTTTTGTTTTTAATAGTTAAATTTCATGAGATGTTAAATGCTTTCTAGGAAATCTAAAGTTTCATTCAATTTTTCTTTTTTTTTTGCTCTTTTATTTTGTTTATTACCAGCCATTATATTTTGCAAGGCTAATTCACTTTATTCATTTATATAAAATCGTTCAAGGGTCCCTTCAGGGTTTCATACCATCTAAGTGTCGACTTAAAAAAGAAATAATAATAATAATAACTTTCTATAGTAAATACATGTAAACTATGTTGTTTCGATTTTAATTATCATTCCAACATTTTTAATAATTTCAAATAACACTGCACGCTTCGCAAAACTTCATTGATTTGGAGTTTGTTGCCGTTCATGGACTGTAAAATCTTTCTTTTAATAAAAATTTTACAAAATCGGTAAATTCAAGAAAGGTTTCTAAAATTTTAAATTTTAATTTTAACGCCAATATTTTTTTTTCTTAATTAATTCACTGTTTTGCTAGGCGCTCTTGAAATATATAGCTCTGCCCATAGCTAAATTTATGTTGCAGTTAACGTCAGGTTATTTTAAGACACTTTTAAGCTTTTCAGGAAATATATTATCAATATAGTTTAAAAAATCTTGTACAGCTCTTTTTGCATTTCTTCATCTAACTTGAAATCGTGAAATACAAATAAAGACTTTCAATATTCTGAGACAGCAGTTATGCTTTGGTATATTTTCTCGAATCTCTATTAACTAACGAACAAAATATAATACTAAATTTTTGTATATATAATTCAGTTCGATTTATTTTCGAATAGTCAAGTGTTCTTACGGGGGTGATAGTATCTAATGATTTGGTAAGCGAAATATATATATATATATATATATATACATATATATAAAGAACGATTGATTAGCATAAGTGTACTACTTATAACTACAACCAAACTCTATTTAAAAGTAACTATCGGTAATAATTATTCATTAATTTACACCATTCACCCATACCAATGTGTTAAAACTAATGCGAGGCTATTACAAATAAAACTATTGTAGCTTTACTCAACCAAGAATATGGCAACGAAAGTTTACATTCATTAAAAAATGTATAACATATGTATGTAAAAGATACACGTAATTATTTAACAATTAATTTGTAAATTGGAAATCTCATGTGTATTCTAAAAACAAAATGGGAAAATGTGTAGATATCAAATGTAGATATTTATTTTTTGAAAATTTATTACTATAATAAAAACGATTTGACCTTTTTTATGATAAGTTATATAATATATGTATGTATAAACAAAAGCTTTTTTGCTAATGAAACTTATTAATTCGAATATGTAATCAAATTTGTGTCACATACATATTTAACAGTGCAGAACTCGAAAGGACTAGGCAACACACTGTTAAAAAAAAAAAAATAAACAAAATGCCTGTCTAAATAACACACAAACAATTGAATTTTGATGTTGTTAAGTTTCGAGTTAAAAGAAAAGTAAAAAAGAAATAAATACATATATACACAAAAGAAACATAAAACCATTTTAAAATAAACCAACTTTTTACAAAGATAAATCAAAAAAGCTTTCGATGTGAATATAAATAATAAGATACATGCATCGGTGTTGAATAAGCCGCAACAATGAACAAAATAAATAAATACAATAATGATTGTTAGAAAACCCGCAATATTGAGTTTCATTCAGATTTGATGCGCCATACCTTCATTGATTTATTGATTTAGATACAATTGAAAATGCTTCGCAATATGTTGTCATATTTATATATGTATAAGTTTTATTTAATTTTTTTTTTATCCGTCGAATATATAATAAATATGTATGTGTATTTATGTATTTTGAAGTGTAACATTTAATGCTTTATCGTTTCTTTAATTTAAGTATTTTTTGTTGGTTGAATAAAAATAATTGGTTTTTAAACAATGATTTCAAATATTTTGCTTTTTTCTCTTGCAGTTATACATTTTTTCTTTGTTCTTCCTTTTAAACGAACGAATCAGATAATGAAATGTATAGTTTAAATTTTTTTTCCCAATTTCAGTCAAAGCGTTGTCTCACGCAAATGCACCAAATACACCAAATATAGCCAATACAAGGAATGTGTAAATATGTATATTACATTTATTTCATTTTCCATAATGGATCTAGCTCATTTAGAGGATCTTTGATTTCTTCCTTCTCCTTAGAAGCTATTTGTGGCGCAATCTTCATTTGATAGGAGGTCATAATGCCACCTGATAACGTAAAAAGCAAGAATTAACAAGTTATGTATGTACGTACATTTACGCAGGTATATTTGCACTTTACTTACGCTTATTGAGTACATCGTGTGCTTGATTTAGCACAATTTGCATTGATTGCTCCAGAGTGTCCATATCACGCAAGGCATTTTGACGTTGCATACATATACGATACCAAATATCAACTACATCTATGCACATGAAAAGTTGAAGTAATATTAATAAATGTGTGTGTTTGTAATATGTTTGCATTATTCATACTTATGAGAACGGGTCGTGTTGTTTGTAAAGCCAAGATAGCACAAATTGCTATAGCAATAAGTTCTGAACGATCAGAGCCTGTTAAGCAGTTCATTATGAGCGGCGATGTTGGTGTGTTAAACTCCAGACAACGTTGTTGATGCGCCTGCAATGCATTGCGTGCAATGCCAATAGTCTGTGAAGGTAAACTACAATAGGGGGAAATATGAGTAATAACGGCGAATACAAATAAATTTAAATATATGATATATTATGCATAAGTCAAAACCTCGCATACTTTTTAGTACTCTTTTCTGTTGTATTATTATTTTGAAGGTTTTTTCTCTTACCTCTTAGTCCAAGCTTTTATTTGCAGCACCGACAAAGCTATAATTGGATCAGCGCCATGCATTGACAATTTCAAATTATATTCCATGCAGTGCGAGAGTGTATTCACTTTAACACACTTGACAGTGAAATCATCATAATGGTTTTCTACATCACACTCCTGCGGCCAGTATGGATCCAACATCTGGCAATGGTTGAGAAAATGGTTTAGTAGCAAAAAAATAATAAATAAATAAAATAATATAAAAAAGAAATAATAATAATCAAATTAAATAAATGATAATAATAAAAAAAATGTATATAAGAAAAAAATATATAGATAAAAATAAATATATATATAAAAATAAATATATATATAAAAATAAATATATAACCAAAAAAAATACAAAATATATAAGAAAAAAAATTTAAAATAAAAAAAAAATAATAAAAAATTTATTATGATATAAAAAAAATTTAAAATATATAAAAAAATATATATAAAAAAAATATATATAAAAAAAATAAATAAAAAATATATAAGACAAAAAAAAAAAATAATAACTAAGAAAAAAAAAATGAAAATATATAAGAAAATATAATATATATAAAAAATAAAAATAAAAAATGTATTATACAATAAAAAAAAAAAATAAAAGTATATAAGAAAAAAATATATATGAATATATAAAAACAATATATATACATATACAATATAAAAAAATATATATAATACAAAAAGCATAACAAGAAAAAAATATAAAAAAACATAAAAAATATATTAATAAATAAGAAAATAGATCAGAAAACAAATAAAATATATATAAGAAAAAAAAAACAAAAAATATATTAGAAAAAAATAAAAAATGTATATAAGAAAAAAATAAAAAATGTATATAAGAAAAAAATAAAAAAATATATTATATGAAAAAAAATATATATATATATATTATGTAAGAAAAAAAAATGAAAAAAAAATAAAAAAATTTAGAAACAAAATATATATATATATATATTAAGAATTAAGAAATTTATAAACAAAATATATATATATATAAGAAAAAATATAGGAAAACAATAAAAAAAATGTATTATATAAGAAAAGAAATAAAAAAATATATAAGAAATTTCATACTCACTTCATTTGGCGTATGCAAACAACAGACCGTACGTGCCTTTTGCGACCAAATCATAGACCAAAAGTCATTAATCGTATTTTGTTGTGGAGTTTGTGCTATAATAAGGTTTGGAGAGCCGGTGCCGAGATTCTGCAGTTATTGTAAAATTTAATTTAAAAATTAATAATAATAAAATCAATTGGCGCTTATTTTTACAGCACCATACCTTTACATATGCGGCATTTATATAGTCATCAGTATCCTTTTCCAGTTTTACACGCGCATGATCGTATGGAATACAATCCAAAACACGATTCTTCTCGGGAAATAGTCTAGCAATAGTCGTTGTACGTTTACTTGCATCCTTAAAGAGCAAATCATGTAACTCCTTCCATTTCGCTGATAATTGCGTATTGCCATTTAGCATTTTAACATTCAGACTTTCCATAATTTTTTCGTAACGTTCCACTTCCTTATGGAAATATTTTAAAACTCTATCATCGTTGAAGGGATCGAAAGGTTTTAATTGAAATGTTGTCGTATTTGATGATATATTGGAATGTTTATCTGACAATTGTTCATTACGCACGGATACCGAGTCCCAGTCGAAGTTCGTATCTAGTGAACTCAAGTCCGAGCATATGGAGAGATTATCAAAGCTGGGTTTACGCATAGCAGGCGAGTTAATAGGCGAGGTTGACATTTTTGTATTAGCTTGCGGTGACGAAAGCGGTGCGTCTATAGACATTGGCGCAACAGCTGTATTGACAGTTGGTGTTAAAGGCGCTGCTGTGGTAGTAGAAGTTTTCTGCGGAGATAGCTAAAAAAAGGAAAAATTCTTTGGATAAATAAGTTTGAAAATATCATAAATACCGTCTGAAATTACCTCTTGAGGCAAGGACTTCGGTTTACTATCAAGGGCCACTTGACTGCTTGGCGGACTTGCTACAATTTCTGGCTTCAATACTGGTTGCGGCAAAATAGGTGGTGGCACGCTTAGACCAGCATCCGAGAAATCAATGTCAGTCAATAAATCAATATTTGTTGATTTCTTAACGGGTTTTGGTGTAGGCTTGACGTCAGCATTTGCTCCAGCCGTGCCGGTCTTTACTTCAGTTGGTGCAGGACTATCGGTTTTTTGGTTTGTTGTTGCTTGTTTTACACCAAACGAGTATTCAGCAGCACTTTTAGTTGTCTGCGTTGGCGCTATTGAAGCGGCACCACTTTGCATATAAGTAGAATGTTGCTGTTGATAAGAAGTTTGCTTTGGTTTTTGATGTTGTTGCTGCTGTTGCGCCGCAAGCAATGATTGTTGAGATTGTAGCTGATTTTGTTGTTGCAATTGCAGTGCATAAGGGGATGCAATACCCTGACTCTGATAGCCATAAGGTGTTGAATAGTAGCTTAAATTAGTTGTATTCTCTGTGTTGGTCGTTGTCGTTGTTATTTCGGCGGCTGATGCAACAGGTGGCGCCACTCCAGATTTAGTGTGAGACACGACAGGTGACTGAAAAATATTGAGATATTAACATTATAATGTCTAAACGAACGTACATTGCACAAATTCATATTTACTCACATCAAAACCTGTTGCCACGTTTATTTTATTGGCATTCTCCGAGTCAGTAGTGCCAACAGTGTCCGATTGTGATGTGCTTGAAGATGTATATTTTCCACAAAATTTATTATTGCCTTGTTGATAACCACTACCATATTCATATTGACCTGTTTGCGGATTATAGCTATAGCCGGGGTGCTTAGTGGTTGTGGAGTAAGGATAATTGTTCGATGCAATGCTTGATGTAGCCGACTGTTGCTGCGGATTGGGAGACTTCGGTTTGGCACTGGCTGGGTTCGAGGTGCCGCTTACAGGCGGAAAAGATGGTAGCTGTTGAGTCTGTGGAATTTGTTGATAGGACAGCGGTTGTGACTGTTGGGTTTGTTGCAACTGTTGTTGTTGTTGTTGTTGTGGAAAAGGTTGCGGCTGTTGTTGTTGTTGTTGTTGTTGTGGAAAAGGTTGCGGCTGTTGTTGTTGTTGTTGTGGAAAAGGTTGCGGCTGTTGTTGTTGTTGTTGTGGAAAAGGTTGCGGCTGTTGTTGTTGTTGTTGAAAAGGTAGTGTCTGCTGTTGTTGTGGAAATGGTTGCGGCTGCTGCTGCTGCTGTTGTTGTTGTTGGAAAAGTTGGTTCTGATGTTGTTGTTGAATAGACTGGTTGGCTGAATATTGAGCTACTTCACCAGCACCGCCAGAAACATTAGGATGTATTGCCTGCTGCCAGTTATTAACAACATATGGCGCTTGCAGCGTAGGTGGGGCTTGAACACTATCCGACTGAGTAGTTGCTACATACAATGGTCTAGAAGTCGGTGTGCCAAAGTTAGTCGAAGATGCTTGGGCGTAATGTTGTTGCAACTGCAAAAAAAAAAAATATTTTAATTAAAAAAGTAAACATTTCCCAATTATCTCCATTTTCTTACATTATTCATTTGATTTGCGTAGATGTTTGCTTGCGCAGCTGTCGTATCAGCGGCTCTAGCATCTGGGTTCGCAGCACCATTTGCTTGGTTTGTTAAGAGACCGTGCTGTGACAGCATTTGACCAGTTGACGCCTTAGATGCATCTGCAGTCGGGTTATATGAGTAAGCTGTATTCGTTTGCACAGTCTGTTGGGGATGCATTACATTGCTTTGATTAGCGCCGTAAACGCCAAGTCCTGTTATTGCTGGCGACTGCTGCCCAAATACCGCATGGTTTCCACCACTTTGTTGCATCATTAACTGTTGATGTTGTTGTTGCTGTAGTTGAAGTAGCTGTTGTTGTTGGCCGAGTTGATCGTGCTGAGCCATTGCTGTGGTGTTGTTGTAAGCATTCACGTTACCAAACTGCGAGTTCGGAGAAGCTTGCAATTTATATGCCGGTGGCGCAATATTTTGTTGCTGTTGTTGATACATGGGGTTTGTATAACCTGCCACATTCGGATCATAATACTGCTGTTGCTGCAAACTGTATGGCGGTGGTGGTTCATTTGGCGCCACAATAGGCACGCTGCCATTTGGGTTCATAACGTGTGGAGTGTACATACTGCCGGATGAACAAACTGCTTGTGTAGGATTTTCAGAGCCAAGAGGATTGGGTCGAACTGGCGGAATGTATTGTGTGGTTTGGTGTGTAGAGTTATTTGGCATGCTATCAGACACGCCGGCTGTTGCTATGCTACTAGCTGTGGTGTTCTTTGATTTTAAATAATCGCGCAATTTGGGTGTATTTGAAATAGTTGAAGCCGGCGTAATATGTGGAATTGCTGGCTTAATGGTATTAGCAGCAGGAATAATTGTGCTATTTTGGGTTTTCAAACGTTGTTGACGTTCCTCTGATTGCACATCACGTGCTGCCTTTAAGCGAGTCAATAATTTTTGAACATTTCCTATAATAAAAAGTTGGGTAGGTAAGAATTTGTTTATGAATATATAAAAATACTTAGAATTTATTTTACCTGACAATTTTTTGTAAAATTCCAAGCCTTTAGCGGATTTAGCCAATAAATCTTCGTAAACATCATATGAGGCGGCTAGAGATGAGAAGAATGCTTCGCGCTTATTTTTAACATCAGCAAGTGTTTTTAATACTGGCGCTGCTTTGGCATAGGCTTCCGTTAAGGCTTGTAAAATGTTGGCTTGAGCAAGCATATTTTGATCTAATAGCTGTGTTAGACGCTCATGTTTAGCCAATTCACGATCGAAGAGCAACTGCATACCCTCATCACTGCCATGCGCAATAACTTTCGCCGTGATGTCATCATCATTTACTGCTATACGTAGATCTGCATGAAATTGTGCACGTTGTGCTTTCATTTCATTGGCTTTGTTTAAAATTAGCTTAACATCTTTAAAGAGTTCTGTTGTGTTGAGTTCTGCACTTAATTTCGGCACAGACTGTTGTATTTCCTGCAGAGGACGTGAAAGGATTTTTAAGTTATTCACATGCAACTCCATGGCTTTCCGCAGCGTGTCGTTTGATTCGCCGGCGCGTGCATGAGCCTCGGTATATTTTTGGAACTCACGCGTCAATTCGATAATGTGTGGATTAGGGGTACGTTGAACGCCCGTAAGCTTTTGGAACTCATTTTCTTGAGTCTCTTCTTCAGCGAGAATTGCAGAAATTTCTTTTAGATTTGATTCAACATCCGTACATATCTCAGCTAACTGTGACATGGCGGCAATTAGATCGGGTATTGCTGTTTTATTGGCATTTAGTTCTGCACAACGATCGACAATGCCTTGGGGAATTTTATTGGCCTTTTCTTCATTAATATTGAGATTATCCAGCGTAAGTGAACTCATAAAACTTGCTAGTTCTGCATCCCTTTCCTCAATGTTTGTGCCATATTTACGAAGAAGTTTTGCTTTTTCCTCACTATACAAAGAACTAGCTTCGTGTGCTTTCATGGGAACTAAACGCGCAAAGATATCTTCGCCAGCTACTTCCGGATCGGTGACACTAAAGCTGGTGCCGTTAACTAAGTTTGCACCTTGTACTGCGGTAATGGTAGATAACTCCGGTACCGCTTCATGATATATAAATTCATTTTCGTTTTTAGCATTTTTTCGTTTACCCTCAACAACGTCCGCAGTGAAAATAAGGGATTCATTGATTTCTTTTTGATCAGGCAGTCCTTTGGATTCTTTCCGTGCTTCCTCTAATTTATCTGAAGCAGCCTGAAGAAGAAATTTTTTATTGTTAAATAAACTATGTATTTTCTTAAGTGAAATCTTACCTGATAAAGGGTTACCCTTTCACCCATTTTTTGCTGCTCCTCTGAGTGTTGACCTTGATATAAATATAATATGCAGTTGAGATATGATATTTTGAATCGCACATATTTTTTCCAGAGCTTATACACAGAAGTGTCGACAACTTGCGCCACTGGTCCATCATCACCACCTGTTAATAGCGCGGCTAATGCAGCACCATAGTATACGACAATTTGTGCAGTGACTTTAGCTACAATATTTGGTTTCCTATTATCTATTAATGACTTTTCCAAAATACACTCTTGCGCTTGAGCGAATGATACTTGTTGCATGAAAACCAGCAATTCGTTTGTCATAAAATCTCCTCCACTATTAATATTGCTAAAACGTTCCCGCAGCTCACCGAAAGCCCAAGCAGCACACTGAAAATGTGTACAGGCCAATTTCATGCCATCAACATCGCCACGCGTCACAGATGCACCCATTTGTGTATGTGAAGCAGCTATATTAAAGAGCACGGCAGCCATTTCGTATCTTAAATCCGTATATTCGTTAACAGAACTTTGGTAAAGATCTTTCCAATTAAAGGTGAACATACTACGCTCCACCAGTTGAGGAAATCGATTTTGAAGTGAATGTAATTGGCAATAATAACGCTTTAAAATGGAGCATTTATCTTTGCCGGGGTGTAAGGCCTGATTTCGAAGCGTTTCCAAAGCAAACACCTCTTTAGAGTAGGCTTCAGGATCCTCCTGGTAAAATTCAGCAATGTACTGAAGTATAAAAGAATATGAAAATTTACTTTTAATGTGTATTCTGAGTAATTTGACCTAAAGTGAATAAGATATTATTCAACAAGAATAGATTTATGTAGATAATTTCATAATCGATTTTGGCTTGAGTTCCATCTCTTTGTTTTTAAAACCATAACAATTTGTAAACAACGTAAATTAAGCTGTTATGCGGTTATCATACAGACAAAATAGATTAGTATGTGAGAAGTTAGCTTAACAAAAGTAAAACGAATTTAAATTGTATGACTCAGCGCACACAGCCCCTTAAAAGATTTTCTCGCCACCCCTGCTAAATTTCTTTACTATTCTATTGTTTTCAGTGCAATCGCCAGTGTTTAAATAAATATATCGCACAAAAAATCACGAAATTGTATGCAACAAAACTAGCAATTTCTTTTAAATACATTGCTATGGAATCCTATGTTTTTCTTCCAATTAGAACTTCCTCGAAAACGTATAATTGGTCCTTAAAATCCACTAGTCTCACCTTTTTCAGATTAGCAAAGGAAGTGCCTGTTGGACTTGTTTTTAGCACAAACCAAAGCATATGAAGCCGCGGCACAGCCTCCATGTTTAAATTAATATATTTTTGTAATTTTACAATTAAATGAAAGGAATTTCCACACAAAATAAAACAATTAGTTTCTCAATAAACTGACAGATAGCAAAAAATACTGCAGTGAAAATGCAGTTTCTCACCGGGTTGAGTTTTAACCGAAACAGGGTTGTATGCGATTTGTATAGAAATTAGTAGTAGGCCGTTCGCAAGCCTATATACAAGGACGTTTTGAAATTATAAATACGGTAATAACAATCCTTAGATAAATTTGTTTACTTATTATGTTAATACATCGTTAAGACTTGGATAATAATAATTTTTCAACTCCAGCAATTTTTCCTAATGGCTGAAATTTCACCGCCGATTTTGCGTTAACATACGCGGTGCAGAGATCGAATATTCTGAATAGCAAGCCAGTAGGTTCCAGAATTGAGTACGAGTAATCTATGAGGTATATACGAGGGTGGCCAACGCGATGTTAGCTAGTTACGAAGTGAACGACGACTAAGGCGATGACATCGGTATAGGGTGCAGCCGAATAAACAGTGTGTTTCTAGAGAGTTGTATAGTTAGTAAAATGTGTGAAAATTAATGTTAGAATTGTAATATAAGTCATAGTGCACAGTAAAGTAAATTCGTTAGTTATTGATTAATAAGTAAACGACAGTTAAGTTCTTTACAATTGAGAAACTCTAAAAGAAGTCTTGGGAATCGGACTTAATTTGAGATTTGGGAAGTCATCGAGGCGAATTAGAAAAATGGTTACAATGCAATGACTTTTACTCACGTTTATGTTTGTTCAAATTTCTCAACTCCGATAGAAGTTTTTGATTTCGAGTCGTAAACGCAAGTATATGTAAAATTAATTTCGACCGAATTTCAGAACAGCAAAGATAACGTCATATTGTAAACAATGGTGCTAAAATTAATAAATTGACCTTTTGTACCTTTATTACAATATACTTGTATTATATCTTGGCCCTTTATCGTAATATCTTGTTTGCTTCGTAGAAAAATAGAAAATAAAGAAACATTAAGAAAAATATATATACACCAAAGGCAAGAGAATCTTCATATGGAAGTATCATCTTAAGATATAAAAGAACGCTTATTTTATGTCCATTTTTGTTGAGCATGCGTTAGGTTTAGTTTAATTAGCTAAGAACTTTCTCATTTATTTTTAATTAAATTACGAGTACAGTGAATAGGTGTCACAATATATTAGTAATTCAACCATCTTCTCTCTACCTTAATCGTAAGGATAAATTCTTTTCCGAAGACAATATGACAACTGAACGTTATGACTACAAATTAACCAAGCCGCTACAACAATAACTACTACAAATTTTAAGTTATGATTGACGAATTTATTTAAACGTTTCCGGCCAGGACACTAGGCCACATATGCAGTGGGTGATGAATTTATTTGATCGTTTCCAAGGGATGAAGGTGCCGAATCGTTTGTGTTATGTACAGGAATACTGTGCATACTAAGTACGCATAATGAGGCCATAAGCAAAAAGTTCATGTCTTTGCTAGAAGCTTTAGAACAAACGCAGCGCCACCTTTTGACGAAATTCCTTTTCAAATGCGGTTTCTCCGATAGGAGAACGTGAATATACTAAACGATGTTGTAATGGTCGAATTCGCTTATATTAAATTGTTAATTCGCCGAGCGTTTGTCGAAGTTATTTGCAAGAGAGCAAGCAGCAGCATATTTTGACATTCCAAAGGGTAAGGAATTTCAAATGAATTTAAATGGAAAGAGCAAGTTAATTGACAAAACGTTTTAGATATTTGAGTTTATACAATCCACCTACCATAGAAGTCGCGAAATAAGTTTAAATGAATGCATGCATGCAAGATTTGCACAAATTGGTTTCTCTACAGTATCGACTGCGTATGCGGTGCCTACACGATTATAGCCGAGCTTACAACAGTGCGTTAATTTCTTTATTTTTTTCTTTGGTACCAATCGGAAATACAACCAGTTCGTACTTCCTCTGCTCTGTTCTACCTCTGTTTCTCTCGGCGGGTACTGCATCGAAAACCTTCAAAGGTGGAGTGTTCTTATCCATCCGATTCACATGACCTAGCTAGCGCAGCCGGCTGTTTCTTGATACGCTGAACTATGTCAATGCCACCGGTTATCTCATACAGCTCATCGTTCCATCGGTTGCCAACAGGTAGAGGATCATAGATCTTATGCGAATCTCTTCTCTCGAAAACTATTAAGACTGACTCTTCAGATACTTTCACCGTTCATGTATCCGCACCATATTAGGACGGGAATGATGAGCGGCGTACACAGTTGGGTCTTTCCTGCGTTCGATTTCAAGGCTGCTGTTGTTGTTGGTGGTAATGAACTTGAACCTTATTACTGTCGACAATGACGTTTTATGATTAAGATCAAACCCATACCCTTCGCATTCTTATCCAGTCTGAAGATGGTACTTTCTCTATTCAGCTCGACAGTTTGTATTACTTTTTCCATCAATAGGTTAAAAAAGGCAGACGATAAGGAATTACCCTGTATACAACTTCGATTGGTATCGAACGGCTCGGAGAGGTCCTTCCCGAGCCTGATGAAGCTATTAGTGTCGCTTAACGTCAGCTTACATAGCCGCATAAGTTTTGCGGTGATACCAAATTCAGACAAAGCAGCGTAGATGCAGCTCCTTTTCCTGCAGTCGAATACAAGCAGAAGGAGGCATGGTATGGTAGTGTCAATACTCTTTTTACGGGTCTTTTCTAAAATTTGTCGATGGTGAATGTCTGATAAATTTTTGATTTACCAGATCTAAAGCCGGACTGATAAGATGAAATCAATTTGTTAATGGTAAGCTTCAGTTTTTCATACAATACGCTCCACTAGACATTATAAGCAATATTGAGGAGCTTATCCGACGGTAATTAAGGCAAACTGCGGAGTCCCCTTAGTAGTTATTCAACGCCCTATTTGAATAGCTCGGTCGACAATCCATTGGTCCCAGCCGCTGTGATATTTTTTAAGCGGGCCATTGCTATTCGTCCTTCTTTTCGTAAAATTTTCTAGCATCTAGCTTCTTAAGCTCTTCATACTCACACATCTGAGCCTTTCTTATTTTGTCTGCAGCTGTGTTTTGTATCTCCCTTCAATTCTCGGTATCTATGCCACCCTGCACGAGTTGTGGTCGATTGCAACATTGTAAGATGGCCAGCCTGTTTTCTCTACCTCACGCCATGGCAACCCTCATCGTAGCAGTTGTTTTGGGACCTTTCCCAGAACTGCAAAAAGAAAATTCAGACAATGCTCGACTGGAATGTCGTAAATTAAAACACTTGTAGCGGAACTTCTGGATAAAGCTTCAACATCACAGAAAGGTGTTGTTTGTTGCGAAATATTCGCGCAGAAAGCAAAGCTGAGCAAAATGAGATGTATGAATATTATGTATGTATGCCCACTGAATGTGAAATGAAATTCCCAATACGTCCACCAAAACTCGCAACAATCCATCTTTTTCATGCACTCCTTACTTCAGTGAGTACGACTTAATCCTGCCTAGCGAGGATATGAAATGAGGCAGTTCATGGCTCAACTGGAGGCATCTTTATTGCCATTTCATTTATTTCGTACCTTCTTTTGGGGATTGGTATGACATTCATTTCTGTGGCGTTACTCTGGAATTTTCTTCCCTGTCCAAGTTGTTTTTGTTTTGTTACCCATTTGGAAATTTGTCTGATTCTGCAGTTCTCTGATATCAATGACTGGTAAGAACTTTTATTAGGGTAATTCTTCTATTGTGTCTTCAATTCAACTATTGCTTTGAGAACTATTGAGACTATCCTTACTAATTCGTTTGTCATTGAGAATTTTGTTCATTTCGAACCCTTTTGGGTTGCTATGGCTTTGATTTCTACTTCTGGTTGTGGAATTTTCCTCCCGGTCAGAGTTTGTTGTTCCGTCATTCATTCTATAGCTGATTTCATATACTTCTTTTGTGCCTTAAATTCTTCTGTTGCTTTAAGAATTATTATTAATGCGTTTATAATTAAGAATTTTATTTATTTCGTACCCTTTTTTGGGGATTGGTATGAATTTGATTTCTGGCTGTGATTCTGGAATTTCCCTCCCTGTCCCTGTCTGTAATCCAGTTGGCACTCCACTCTCAAGTTCCCACCCTACAGTTCAGACCAGGCCCCGTGTGATTATTTCCTGTTTGCAATAATGAAAAAAGAGAGGAGGAGTAAAAAATGTAACACCGCTGATAAAGTCAAGAATGCACTTTCGGCGTATATTGTGTTTAAACCAAATTATTTCAAGAATTTTGTCAAATTTTATTTTCTACAAATACACGAACAAAATGGCAGAAGTAACAGCTGCTTTGGAAATCTTCACAACATCCCTGCGGAATAGAGGTTCAAGAATTAAACTGCGGTAAGGCATGCCCGTCGTAAGAGCTGACTAAAATCATATCGTTTCCGCGACAGTTGGCTCTTCATACCGGTACGACTCGGATTTTTTATTTTCTCTCTTTGTCACTCTCGCAATATTCACCTAAAATTCAATACTAGAAATATTTTTGTGGTTTCATCTACAGCATACCATATTCTAATGAGACTTTGTGAGGCGGAGACTAAGCACTAGTCTTGATTTGCGCCAACACCAGCAATGTAATCTGTTGTTGCAATCAATTTACTGCAGCAACAACTCATGCTTTCTAATGCTATATACTTTTAGGAGACATCTGAGACAGAATCAAGTTAATATAAATAATTTTAATTTTTTATGCTGTCGTATTTTAGTTAAATAAATTAGTCAGTTCAGTTCAAAGTGTCATTCAAATTGTGAGAAAATATTTTTTTTGATCTCAGACATGAGAGAAGCTTTCAAGAGAGTCTTTCGGTCTTCTCGAAAGTAATTTTCTTTCTGATTAAAGTACGTGGTATATTTTTTACTAAAGATTCTGTCGATTTGTTCGGCAGTGTCTACACTCTGGCTGCATACAAAATAATTCGTGTTAGCTCATTAGCCCGTGACTCGGGATAGTACCACCTCCTAGCACCACCTCAATGAGCCTAAATATGTATAAAAAATATTTAAACAAAATTTCCAGCCACTTCTAGGAATATAA